CTACCTTATGGCCTTAGTCGTAACGGCTTCTCTGGAACAGTAAAAATTAACAGGGTAATCTCATGTATTTCAAAATTCCACTCGAAGTGGAGAACAGTTCCTGTTGTTGTTGCTGTTGTTTTTGTATCGATTCGCTAACCCCGCTTAGGCACAGGTTTGATCAATCTAAGTCGCCGAGGTCAGCTAATGGGAAGTCCACGAAACGAACTGTTTCGACGAGGTTGGAACAAAGGGAGAGGGGGCTGAGATGAGTTGGTTTGAGAGGGCATATGAAGAGGTGGTTAGTGTCGTGCGGATATGCGGTATGCTGGGGTCTAGTCTGGATAAGTAGGAGTTTCAGCTGCTATAGTATCCAGACCTGAGAATTTGGTGGCGAGATTGTAGAAACTAAAGCGACAGGCTGTAGTTTTCAAAGCAACTTAATTCGAGTTTCTTTTAGCAACGATCCTTTGAAATTTTTCGAGTAGGAAATACAAAGTATGCCAATCGGACTCAAGATCCCAACATAAGTTATAGGTTTAATTTATCCGAGCACGAGGGGTTCCAGTTTAAGGGAAAATACCTTTGGAAGTATTCGTTGTGTGCTCATGAGTGAGAGATAGAATACGCTGAATGTCATGGAAAACAGGGTTGGGAAACAAAGCAAGCTCTATAAAAGCAGAGAACACCAAATCGCGATACGTGTGGCTAAATCATTTTCTGGTGCTCTAACCATATATTAGTTTTTCTCTTCTACAAACATTTATAGCTTAATCCCCTTACTCTCCAACATCTGGCAACCCTCACTGCCATCTTCTGCCTGCTGCTCGCATTTTTTTTTTTTTTTTTTGCTTAGCGCTGGGCCGGCAGTTACTCTTCAAGACAATCTCGACTTATCTTCCTTTCCTCATTTTATCTTCTATTCTCTAAAATACTTAACAGCTGCTCGGCTGCAGGCTTCCAGTGGTGCTTTAGTTGCGCTGATTCTTTATTTTGTTGGATGAGGGAAAACAACAACACCAACAATAAACTATATTGCTCTGTAGCTATCTGACCATTTAGTCATCCATAAATCGGCCGCCATACATGGCTGAGATGTTGTTCCTCTTCTGCTGTTTCTATTTCTGTGTCTTCTTCTTCTCCTTCTCCACAGTCGACCTTCTTGCTTGCGCAGCCTGTCTGCCTGCCGTGGCTGTGCAAGCGGTTGCATTGTTTGTTTGTTTTGTTTCGTTGCATTGAAAGTTACCTTGATTTTACTACCTTTTTGGTTTGTTTCTATTTAACGATGTATGTATGTATTCGTATTGTATAAGTGTTTGTATGTTTATTTGCTTGTTAGAAGTTGCGCTTTGTTATTGTACAGTTCTTGTGTGCCTGTTGCGTTGCAGTTGAGTATGTACATAGGCTCATATCTCTGTATACACATACATATATATGTTCGCATATATACATATTATATTTTACATATACACGTATGTATGTATATATGCAGCATTTCTCCTGCAGCCTGTTTCTTGTCAGTTTATATGATTTGGTTTCTCAACTCAATTTTAATGTTATCAGCTATACAAATAAAGTATGTTTGAGTGTACTTACAAATCTATACATACATATGTATGTATGCTGCGTGCTTACCTGTACTGCACTCGGTAAATAACTCACCACTTTTTTGGTTCTAGAAATGTGTCTTTTTATTTTAATTTTTTTATATTTAATTAATTTTTTTTATTTCTTACATTTTATTTTATGTTTTTATATATTTTATTTTATATAATTTATTTATTTTTTTAATCTATTTTAACTTAATTTGACTTTATTTAATTTAATTTTTTTTTTTTTATTTTATTTTATTTTATTTTATTTTATTTTATTTTATTTTATTTTATTTTATTTTATTTTATTTTATTTTATTTTATCTTATTTTATTTTCTTTCACCTTGTTATTTTTATTTTTATTTTATTTAATTCAAATTAATTAAATTAAATTTAATATTTAATTTTTTTTGTTTAAATTTTTTAGCCTAGAAAGACGTGTGCGTTTCTGTTTATTTTCTTCCCTTACTTTTCGATTTTTATTACTTTTTTGTTGCATGCAACTTGTCATCGTATGTTGTGGCGTGCTGCTGTACCTTCTAATATCGTAGTACACATACTTAAGAGTATTCGAGTGTGTGTGTGTGTGTTGTGAATGCGTGTATGTGCTACCGTTTGCTCTGGTTGCATTTTTGCTCTGCATTTGCTTTTGTCCCCTCATGTTCTGCCACTTCTGCTTCTTCTTCTTCTTCTTTTACCAGCCGCGCGTATCTTTCGCCCAACGGAAATGTTCACGTTGACGTTTGAAATATATGAAATTAATCTTGTTTTGCTTGGGAATCGCTTTGGCGCATTCCGTTCTTCGTTCTGGTCTAGTTGCTGGCTAATGTGGTACCCTCGGTGACTTGGCAAATGTAGCCAAAGTGACTGCAAATGCAAATGCTTGCTGAAAAATGTTGTGAAGCGAAAACCAATTTGTTTGTTGCATTTGTAAAGGAAGGTGGGGGAATATTGTGGAAGAAAGCAGTCAAAGTGTAAGGAAGCGAGCTGGAGCTGGATGCAGTTCACATGAATCTCAGCTACTTTTTTCTTGCTGAATCTGTCAAGTTTCTGTCTGGAAATTCCAAAGAACATGTAGTTGAAGCAGGAGAGAAATAACTTATAACAGAAGAAGCGCGGAAAGGCGTTATGAGCACACTTTTTGCTTGTTGCGAGCGCTCCACCCTCTACTCTGTGGCATGATAACTCCAGTATCCAGGAGCATTTCTCTAACCCAACCCTGTAAAAAATAAGTTTGTTACAAACAATCCTAGACAGAGATCGACACACCAAGCTCACATCAGTTAAGCGTGGACATCAGGAATCTCTTAATTGTATCTCTCTCTCTCTGTTAAGTGAACAGATGAAAAGCACATGCGCTGGGGAAAAGACGTAGGCTCTTCATCGTCTCTACAACTGCTCAAATGGTTTATTGAGGGGCATGCGCAAACCTTGATTTATGACTATGGGAATCTCCTCTCACCGGCTAAGACCGCTTAAAAGCAACTATAACGATCTGCCCCCTTCGTTTGATCGTATTTACTTAAAGTCCCCAGTTATATTTCTCGACGAGTCAGAAAGTGAAAAAACCTCATGACTTAGTAGCAAAGGCAGCAGTAAAAAGTCCACCAACTCACCATGTACCTCCACTCAGCATCGTCATCACTGCAAATACCTTATTTAGCAGCAACAAAACCTGAGCATCCAGACCACTTCGGAGCTGGATGAATGGTTGACGAGATGATGTTGTTTATTGATGACGATGACGAAGTGGAAATGGCAGTTGAACCAAAACCAAACCCATACCCAAACCGTGCAAAACGCGCAACCACCAAAAATGGGCAAATTAAACCAGTATTTATGAGCGTCGCTAAATGGGCACGAAAGTGGGGCAGTCATCGGACTGAAGGTGGTGATGTTGCCGGTGCTGGCGTGGTGCTGTTACTGAAGGGGGTGGTAAAATGGTTTGCTTGTGCTAGTGTCGGACAGGTGAACAGGCGTTGCGCTGCCATACGCTGACGCATTGAAATACTTTTCGAAAGTACCGTTAGTCAGTTGAACAGGTTAACAACACGCAGTTCGCTGACGATTCTCCTACTCGCTTGCAGTTAGTTGATTGCAAACAAGTCGGTGGCAGTATAAAATATAAATAAAATAAATGGAAAAGTAAGGAGGAAGAAGAAGAAATCGAAGGAAGTGGTCAATCGACCGGGCCATGCAATGCGTAACTGAAGCGAAACTATTTTCATTACGCTTGGTGGTTGATAAAATTTGCAGTTCTTTTGGCGAAAGCCCATCGATTGAATTTTTGTTCTTGTTTTTTTTATGCAGAGAAGTGTAGACCAACAAATTGGGGACAATTAAATAAATAATTAAAGTTAAATTAAATAAAGTAAATAAATTAAAATACAATGGAATAAAGTAAAAAAAAAATAAAATAACAAAATAAATAAATAAAAAAGATAAAACCAAAATAAAGTGTTTTAAAAAAATTAAAAGAAATAAAAAGAAATAATAAGAATAAATAAAATAAAATAAAAAGATTTAATTGAAATAAATAAAAATAAATAAAATTAAACAAATTAATATAAAACAAAAACTAAGTAAAATGAATAAAAATAAAATAAAATAACATAAAAATAAATACAACTAATTAAAATAAAAAAAATAAAAATGATTTCAAAAAATTAAATAATATAATAAAAAAATATTAAAAATTAAAAAAAAAACGAAATGGTATAAAATAAAACAAAGTAAAATAAAATGGATTAAAGTAAAAAAATTATAATAAAATAAAAAATAAAACGAAACAGAATAAAATGATTAAAAAATATATAAAAAATAAAATAAAATAAAACAAATTAATATGAAAAACTAAGTATAATAAATAAAAAATAAAATAAAATAACATAAAATAAAATAACATAAAATAACATAAAATAAAATAAAATAAAATAAATTAAAATAAAATAAAATAAAATAAAATAAAATAAAATAAAATGGAATAAAACAAAACGAAATGAAATAGAGTTAGGAAATAATATACAACAATATATAATTCAAAGAAATTTCTAGAACCAATGTAGAAAAATAAATCATTCAAAAAAATGTAAAAAAAAAGTAAAAAATGAGTGAAAATAAATAGAAATTTATTATATATTATATATATTAATTCATTATATTTAGGAAAATAAAATTTTAATATAACAAATTAATATAAAGTCAAATAAGCCTTATAAACTAACTTAAATAATTAAAATAAACATCACAATGAAATAAAATGAAAATAAATATAAATAAATTAAGAAGAGGTAAATGAATTTAGTTTTCTAAAATTAACTAAAGTTAACGTCCCTTGATAGTCTTTTATCGAATTAGATATTCAGAATACCTGTTTTAATTGTCTAATTGTTTTAAATTTAATTCACTAATCAGATCTTATTACTCACCTTTAATTTAATCCTCAGGACCTTCAGAAATTCTTCTTAATATGTATATGTATATACATATATGAATATACATATGTTTTTTTGTACTTTTTTATTTGATAATCTGCCCGTTTCAATGCATTTGCTGGCTTTTTTTCATCAGCCTTTGTTTCAATTAACCCTCAAAACAGTTCACTTGCAAACATTTGAGGGTTGCGCATGCGTTTTTTATTTTTTTTTTGTATGCTTTTATTTATTATTCTTAATTTTTTTAGGGTGCACTTGTCGGTTTTCACTTGCCAAAAAAAAAAAAAAATAATCACTTTGCTATCGAAACAAAAATTTAAAAAAAATATGTATGTATGTCTATATATGCCAAAAGCACATTATTTATTTGGCCAATTCTATTATGGATTTTTTCACAATTTTTTCTTTATATTATTTTTTTAATCATTTTTTTTGGGACGAAAATTTTCAATTTATATTTCTTTCAGTTTTAACATTCTGCCAATATTTTCATTCTTTAATGGCATTGTCTGGGGGAATTATGTCGGCTTTACTGATATTTTTTTTATTCTTACAAAGTTCTGTGCTGAGAGTTTAGTAGAAACTATAAAAAAAGATTTGCATTTATTAAAAAACTTAACTTTAATTATATATAGATTAATTTCGGTTACAATTTCTGATCAACAAATTTAATTAAAAAAATTTTTTTGTATATTTTAAAGTTTCTTGCGAATTTCGCGTAATTATTATTCGTTGATATAAACATTTTCTTAGTTTGGGTTTAATTTTTTTGATTTGCATTAGCCTTATTTTTAATTTTTATTTTTATTTAATTTTTTTTAATATATTTTTTTAATATATTTTTATTATATTAAATTTTTTTTTATTTCATTTTAATTTATTTTATTTTATTTCATAATTAATTTTAATTCATTAATTTTTTTTTTCGTTAAATTTCATAAATTTTTTTTTATTTAATATTAATTTTTATTTCATTTAATTTTTTTATTTTATTTTAGTTTATTATTTTATTTTACTTAGATTTAATATTTTGTTTAATTTTTTATTTTATTATATTTTATTTTATTTTATTTTATCTTATTATTTTCTAAATTTATTTTTTTTATTTATTATTTTGATAATTTATATTTGATTTTATTTTTTTATTTTTGATTATTTGTTTTTTGTCTTGCATTTGTTTTATATTATCAGTTCATTATTTATTAGCCACTGTACTTGTTGTTGATGTTAATGTCTTTGCTCTGCTGACTCACATTCTTAAATGAAGGTACTTGAGATTATCAGTTAAATTTTAAATTTTAGATTATTTTAGGTAAATTTATTTCAATTAAATCATTTTTATTTTAAAAATATTAAATTATCATTGACGGCGAGTGTGCGCAGCTGTTGTGGCGATTTTAGAAAGATAAGAGTTAAATTGTTGAAAAGTGCGGGCAAAAGCTTTTTTCTTTCACTACAGGTCATTTGGTAAACTGTGTTCAGAATTGTGAATCCCTTTTCTTTTGCCTTATCTAACTTTCTCACATTGGAGTTAAACTAAAGATTCCACATCTACCTCTCCGTACCCTTCTAATTAAAACCAGCAGCGAGCCTTGAGTTGGGTGTATAATAAAGAATCGAACCGTGTCTCATAGGACGTCAAGTGGCAACTATTGCATATCTGCACATTCGAGCGACCGGATCAATCAGGTATTGTTGGTCTGTCGGAAATTTCCAAGATTCAACGAAGACTGTGCTGCTTAAAGAAGCCAAGTCTAACACTGAAACAGCGACGCTGCTACCCAAACACTGCAGCACTCTTCAGCTTACTTGAAAACGTCTTAAGCAACATTTCCAAGATTTTTTGAATCTAACTCTCAGTTAAAACTACAGAACCCACTCTGCAAATCTTTCTATTAGCTGCATTTTTACTAAAGTATTTGTGAAGTGGTAGTCGCGGAAGTCTGGGGTCGTTTGTGAAGCCGATCTCTCCGTGAATGTATGACTATAGTTTTTGTGAGTTCAGCCTGAGCCAGAGAACAAAGTTTGAGCCCTCTAAAAAGAATCAGATTTTACTTTGTTTCAGTTCCATCTAACAAAACTTTCAAATCAATATTTTATTGCTTCTTGGCTCAATTTTTTGTTTTCATTCAGGCATTGTTTTCCCCGTTTCTTTGTTCGCTTCTTCTGTTTGGCTCGCACATCTTTTCTAAATTAAGCCGCTTATTTCTTATTTCACGCAACTACATACAGACATACTTCATTCTGCACTTTTTTTTTTGAAAGATTTTTCTGTTCTTTGTTTTTAATTTTGTTTTTAATTTTTTATTTTTCTTGTTCGCCTATTACGCCTTTTGCAGCACTTTTGTGTCACTCATTCGTAAAGTTGCTTCGTTGCCTGCTCACGAGCGTCTAAAAATAAACAAAACAAAAAAATTCTAAAATTTCTTGAAATCTGCACGCAACTTTGGCACACGGTAGGCAGACGAATAGACGGGACGGAGGGACGAGTAGACAGACGGACTGATAGTTGGTTAGTCAGATAGATAGACAACCAGCCCGCTCGCCAGCCGGCCAGCCGATGTGACACAGCTTTGCTTACCAGCGGCAGACAAGTAGAAAATCACAAATCACAACAGCTTCCTGTCACTGCCGGCTACACAAATACATACAAATTTGTTAAAAAAATATTCGATTTTTCGGTTGTCATAAATAAACCAAATGCAACGCTGCGCACGCTTAGCCGCAAGCAAGCCAAGTTCCTTTTTATATAATTTTACAATTATTTTAGTTTAATTTTTGCTCTACGCCACACAAAAACACAACGGTTTCATTGCATTTTGCAGCACACGCGCACGCACGATATACAAAAAAAAATCTGCGGTCTCGGTATTCTTACTGTGGACGTAAGAAAGCGTCGTCGAGCGCACTTTGCACTTATTTACCAAACGTTTCAAATTGAACTAAACTAAATCGCTGCGTCGACGAGTCAACACGCTGTTGATCAATCAGCTCAACGCTAAAAGCAACTCAATTCCATTGGCATACACTTGTGCACCGGCTGAGCATGTAGCGTGTGGGGAGCACGACCGGCGCTCAGGCGAGTAGCGCAAAAAACTCGCTGGATGAGCTCTATTCTTCATCGGCGATGTGTATCTACGCTCTTGTAAATGGCTTGTCGTCTGTTAGGTTGCTTTAGTTTGCTCAGCGACTGACTTTGCTGCAGCTATCAACAATATTCATTCATAAGCAAAGTGAGATTTTGGCTAGAGGCACTCGTAGCGAGTGCTTAGCTTCAGGTGTAGTGGGGCAGTTAACTTCTTAAGGTTCACTACTCGCTACTAAAGGGTTTAGAATCAAGTTACTTTAGCAATAATGGCTTAAGTTAAGGCTCTTATGCCATCTAGTTAGCGCTGGTGCATAATTTAGTCAAAGCTGTTGTGCTTTTTGGTCATTGCTGAGGGTTTGTTTCTAACCTCAGCTAGCTTAAAAAACTGCAAACCTCATTACTTCGTGCTCTACACGGCACAAAACTGTGTGAATCTACTCCCTGCCGTTTGCGCTGTATTAACCAAAAGTATTGTTTGCCCTTCACTCATTTAGGAAACAAAACAAAAAACCACTCAAATTATCAGAACACTTGCTGCGCTAGGCACTCTAACTTGCTGCTCACCACCAATAGCTATGAGATTCTAAGAGAAACACTTGATCTCTGGCGCATCGATCAATGATCATCTGTACCTCTGCAGACTTCTTCTTAATAAAAGTGAGCTTGAGGTCAACCACGCAAATTCTTTAAAATTAAATTTAAAGATTAACGACGGTAATTAATGTGCTTTCAGGAGCTGAAACATTATCTCTTCCCACAAATTATTATTAAACCACTTTTTTCTGAGAAAACCAATTTATTTTAATTAATTAAAGCTTATAAAAAAATTCTTTTTAAAATGACCCAGTTAACCTCGGAGTTTTTGGCTGATAGCAGGCATCTGTGATTCGTTGCCGTCGCATCGGATCAGCAACATCACTTTGGCGTTGCTGTCGCTTCTTTAAATCACTCGTGAGTATTTGAGTGCCTTTTGCTTAATGAGTTCTTTTTGTTAGGCGCTCATTTGTCATGATCTCGCGCTCTTTTTTATGCTCGCTGTGATTTTTTCTCTATTTGGCTCAGTGTTCTCGCGTATACACTCACAGCTATTTATTTATAAACTACAAAACGAAAATGCTGCTAAAAAGGAATTGTCAAAAATATTATTGTTTATTTTTATTTTGTTTTGGGTTTACACATCTTACAAAATGACAGGCGATTTACTTTGGCACTGCCAACTTGAATGGAAATGGAAAATATTCAGGAAAAGATTTTGTTACGATTTTACTGAATCAACCTCGATGATTTTCTGAATCCTTCGCGTACGATCTCTGGATTGTTAAATAAAACTCACCAACTTAATTTGCAGTTACTTTCGTTATAAAGAATTTATCTAATGTCCTTTATTTACTCACTAATTCAGAATTCAATTACAATGCACTTTACTAGCTACAATCACTTGCATAAACTTTCACAATTTACTTTACTTAAATGTAATCTCCAACGCGTTTACTTTACGACTCAAATAGTTTATTCCGCTATACTCTATGTTGTCGCAAACGAGCTCACTTTGTAACTGACTTCTTGGCAGCTGAGTTTCGCCCTTATATAGCAGTCGGCTGCTCGCAGACGAAAGTGTAGAATAATCGAGTTGTTCGTTATCGAAGGATCTCGTTTTATCGTTCTAGAACGTACTAGTTATCGTCTTCTCTCTTTCATCTGACATTCGTCTCTCATTTTCACAACAATATGGAATAATTTTAAATCAATGTAAATAAAATGGAGCATTTGAAGTGATGATACAGAGGTTATTAAATCACAAAAACAGTGCTGAGATGGAGTTTCTTCCGCATAATGTCACTCTCCGCCGCGCTCCATGGGCAGAGGGCATCATAGGTGCAGACTATGGACATCGCTGTAGTGCCATAATTACCATAATTAATGACTCTTTCGTTTTTGAATTGGATAATGTTGGTGTGCACGAGCTATGCCTCCAACAAGTCACAGCTGCGTAACATAAAGCCAACGAGAGGATCAATTTTTTGAAGAAAACTTTTGCTTGAACGCATTAGCACGCGTCGTGGGTCTCTGGTAAGGCCTGCATGATCGTACGATTGAACACCACTTTGTGGAGCTATGTGAAGTCGGTTGTCGATGCAGATAAGCTCGAGACGAAGAAAATATTCGGCAATTCGGCAGACATACTTCGAGCCAGCACCGACGACCTCCCATTTCTGGATTTGTTACCGATTTAGCAATACCAAACCTATGTCCTAAACCTATTTTTTGTTGCCTCTACAATGTTTTCTTTGCCTATCCTTTTCTTAAGTGCATATTTTCTCTTTCTTTCGAATGCCAAGAGGACGATGTGAAGCTACCGAATAGATGGTCCTGCACTGTCACTGACTTAACATGAAGTTTCTGGGGCCAGCTGCGGTTTGGTGTGATAAGACTCTGTCCCTAAGCAACGTGAGTATCTTTAATTTTTTTATAAAAAACCATCATTCATGTTGCTCCTTTGGACAACATGGAAAGGATTTCGGACCTCTAGTGTAGGAAAAGGAGTTTGCAATTACACCCAGTGTCGTTCTGGCGAACTAAAAACCTTATTACTTTGAGGAAATGTCTCCAGTGGCAGTGACAACTGATTTTAGTCTCGGTTTAGCGGTTTTAAGCATACAAAGAGGCCTCTTACATCTACTCCCCCTTGATGTTATGGGGATCCATAAAGCTGCTTGCGTCGTGGAATCACTGCAAAAAATGTCTGAGCAATGAACCATGGGCATACTAACATCTTAAGCAAATTCCGTATACCCGAAAACCCGTTTACTGCTCATCATTCGTTCTTCACTTTACGACAGATTTCAAGGTAGTTATCCCGAATGGAAACCATCGGGACAGTATAATAACAGCATGCAAATTCTCGATTCATTTTTATACGGTTGGGTCATAACTAGATAACAGGGTCGGCGGCGGAATTCACTCAAGGGATCTTGGTATCTGCAAATCCTCTCGATTTCACTGTAGTGTTTTTCAGGCGAAATACATGATGCTGATGGGTTTTCGTTTACCCAGACCGCATTAGGAGTCCCAGAGTATGTAACAGAAAAATCTAAAATTGTATGGAACTGCCGCAGTTCAGTTAACGTCATGGCAAAGCAGTTTTTTTTGAGCCTGGTACGGGTGTCTGAACACAGTGACAGATCGGTTAATGAAATGGCGGACGAGCGTGCAAGGAACAGCAGGCCGCTCTCCACTTATAAGCTCACTATAGGAGAGTTATTCATTAAAGACGCTTACTCAAGATGAAAAACGCGGTTGTTGTTGTAGTTGTACCGGTTCGATCACCCCGCTTAGGTGCAGGTTTGATTAATCTCAGTCGCCGAGGTCATCTAGTGGGAGGTGCAGGAAAGGGAGAGGGGGGTTAAATGACTCGGTTTAAGGGTTCATATGAAGAGATGGTTAGTGTCGTGCACAGACTCTCCACATGCAATGCATACGTTGGACATGCTGGGGTCGACTCTGGATAAGTAGGAGCTTAACCTGCTACAGTATCAAGACCTAACTGGAAAACACTCACTGCGTGTAATGTGACCAGGACAACATGGTCTGAACGGAACAAAATAAGAGCTCGGTGGCTTATCAAGCAAATAAAAAGTGGAAGATATCTACAGTTATAGATCTTCTTACAAGGCATATTCTGTTAGACAGGAACGCAGAGAGTTTGGGCGTGCCGTCTAACGATTTCTGCTGAAGTTGCAGACAAGGAGAGGAACCTTAAATCTGAGGGCTCCTCCTTTCGAATGATTCGCACTTTAATTTGCTTACTCCATGGGTGGCAATCTGAGAAGACTTGGACGCGATAGCGGAAGTCAAGAAACGATGACTGTCGAGCTTTGCAAACTCCACAGAGTGGCTTGATTTGCGGGTGGGTATGATTAGGATTCTCCGTGGCATCACAGTTACCAACCAATCAATCAATTCGAACTAAATTGAATTACGTAACTTTTGTGTACATTTTTTTTTTTACTTACCGTTATTCAGCTCTTTGTACTTTGTATAGAATATCAGGCAAACATTTTTTTTTATTTATTTTTTCATTTTTATTGCATTATTTTGAGTTGTAAAATTTATATATATATATATATATATTTATATATAATATCTTAGTTATTCTGTTAATATGTATATATGTATGTGTGTTTACATATTTATTTTATTTTACTTGTTTTCTCCACTATTTTCCCCCATTTAACTTGCATTTTCTTGCATTTTACTGTTATTTTTGCTAATTAATTAATATATTTGTTTTTTTTTTTTGTTTAATGGTGAGTGTGTAGCGAGCGTTTTGCGGTGTATTACGGTTTTTGTTTTTTGTGTTTGTTATTATTATTTTTTTTTTTTGAAGAGTAAAAATTTTTCTAATTCATTTCAATGCATTTCTGGTGTGTTTAGGAATTTTCTACGATTTTTGTGTTTGCTTGGAAATTTTGTTTTTTGTTCAAGAAAATTAAAAAATCTTTCTTTTTCTTCTTTGTAATTTTTTTTAATGTCAATATGCTTAATGAAATTCAGCATTGCGTGAATATTATAGTTTTTATTATTAAAAAATAATTGATATATATTTGTATAGTGTTTAAATGGCGTATAAAAGCTTTATTTTCAGTAGTTTTTTTTTAATTTTAATTAAATATTGTTGTTGGGGCGTTGTTAGGTAGTGAATTTTTTTCATCGGCATTTAAATTTACAGATTTTTTCAAAAGCGTTTTTTTCCTTTTACGCTAAAAAAACATGCCGTTTCTTGAATTTTTTAATTTTTTTTTTAATATTTACATTAATTTGTTTATCATTTTGAAACAATTCCTAAATATTTTTATGTGTATGTATGTATGTAAGTGGATAATTTTAAATTTAATTGCACAATTTTTTGTTTTGCTTTTTTGCATATTTTTCAAATGTAAGGCTTTGCAAGGAGAATATTTTCGAAAGAAAAATTTGGAAAAAATATAAATAAAAGCCAATTCGCTTAAATATAAATTTTCGCTTAATTTTTTTTTTTTATTATACTAAGATTTTGCTATGCGTTAATTAATTTGTTCGTAACTTTCTATATATATATTTTTTTTTTTAATTTCATAATATTTTCTGGCTTTTCCTAATTTCGTATGCGCGCGTAGTTAACGAATTTTATTAAGCGTTTTATTTTAATTGTTTTCTTTTTTTTAATTCTTCTTCTTATTTTTTATTTTTTTTTTAATTTTTGTTAATTTTTCTACTATTTTTAATGCAGACTTCGTCTTGCCTGCCTACGTTTTCTAGCTTTTAATAGTTTTAGTTTTTGTAATTTACAGCTATTTACAGTATTTATATACAGTTTTGTGATTTTTGATATTTCTTAACAATTTTAGTAGTTTTTTTAATATATTATCTATATATATATAACTTTTTATTTTTTATTTATTTTATTTATTTATTTTTTTTTTCATATTTTATTTCATAACTTTTATTTTATTTCATTTTCAAAATTTTTTTTTTATTTAAATTTTTTTTTTATATTTTTAATTTAATTTATTTTTTATCTTATTTTGTTTTTATTTATTAATATTTTAATTTTATTTATTTCTATTATTTAGTCCGTAAAGCTTTAAATAAAAATGTGTGTGTATGTATGCATGTTCAATACCTTATTTAAATTGCTTGCCGTTTATAGTGTACAAATATACATATATATTTATGCTTACAGGTATTTTTTAACATTTCTTTATGATTAAATTAATGTTTAAAAATTGGCTATATAATTTTTTTGAAATATTTTTATTAGAGATTTCTAAAATTAAAAATTTTCTTAAAAAATTAATAACAAAAACACAGTTATGTTACATATGTTTGTATGTGTATTCAGGTAACGAAATTTTTCAAGTTTTTCACAAATTAGGTACTTAAATTGTTGGTTAGTATGTATAATATATGTATGTAGGTATGATGTTTATATATTATTTTGTAGTGTTGTTTTTTTGTTTTTGTTTTTGTTTTTGATAATTAATAAATAAATTCAGTTTGAAAATTTAAAAATTCAATGCCATGTTGAATAACTTGAGAGCTTTCACTAAAAAAAATGAAAGCATCAATTCGAAAAAGTTTATTTAGAAGAAAGTAAAATGAGTGCTCTTTGGGAAGTATTATCATCAAATAATTATTACCATATTTGAAAAGCTTGAGAGCTTTCACTTTCTAGGGAAAAATTACACACATTAAATACGAAGAAACCTAAATGAGGGCTATAAGGAAAGGTTTTGGTTTGAAGGCCTAAATAATGAATACTAAGCTTGAAAAGCTTAAGAGCTTTTACTTTAACAAATATATGAAAGCATTAACTTGGCGAAAGCTTACGTCGAATAATCTTAAAAAGCTCATGTTAAATGTTTTAATTCAAAATAAAAGAGACACAGAGCGACCATTTAGCAAAGCTTTTGGTTCTAGTTGTGAAAATTTATTTTTTTTAAATTTTTGTAAAAAAAAAAATTTCCAAATTAAACCAAAATTAAAACAAAAAATTCTATAAAAAGCATTAAAATTAAAAACTGTTCTTTCTACTTTTAACGGTATTAAAATTTCGAGAAAAAAGTTCAAATCATATAAATTTATATTTTCTTCTTCTTTATACACATTTTTTTTTTAACTTTTTACTGCGCAATATGTTTTTTTTTTAAATATTCTCCAACAATTTATCTCTTAACCTACACACATGCATGCGCATAACAGCTTTTTGATATTTATATTTTTCACTCACGAAAGGTACACAAAGAAATATGCCGCGCTTACTTAACATTTTAACTTGATTTTATTTTTAATAATTATTTCTATTAATAAAAAAAAAAACAACCCTTTAATAATAATTTCTCTATATTTTAGTTAATATTATTGCCTACTAAAAGTATGTATGATTTCATTTTGCAAGTGTTTGAGTCAAAGTGTATTTTTTTTTTTTTTTAATAAGAAAAAGATAAAAATTAAATAAAAATTTTTAGCTGCTTTTGAAACCGCTTTAGGCAATCAAAAATCACTGCCTTATACTCTAAGAAGCTTGGATATATTTGCTTTTAAAATGAAGATAATGCTAAATTTTCATTTCTAACCTCACTTTTCATATGTACGCTTGTAATTCTCAACCCCTTTTGAACGATATCACAAGTAATGGTGTGCAATTATTATTGTTTTCTTCCTCTCTTTGTTACTATGCTAATTTTGCACTATGCATGTGTATTTACAGTGTGTCAAAAACCAATATTTTATAATGATTTTTAGTAGTTACAAATAGCATTACAATAAAACTAGTTACCTAATAAACTAGTTAGTAATCGGTTACATAAAACATCGAAATGTAACTAGTTGCATTTGTAGTGAGTCCGCCTGCGTTATTGCCGTGTTTAATTTGTTATTAGTGATTTTTGCCTTTTGCGTATATTGTATGCTTGGACATATGTCTGTATGTATATTTACAAACTCAACAGAAGTGTTGCCACCTATTCATATTTACATTAGAAATTTCAATCAAATTATTGACTATATTTAATTAAATAATTAATTCATTTTTTTTTTTGTTTGCTTTATAATTCGATTGTCGTTTGTTTGTTATACGCTGTGTTTAACGGTTAGTTCTTTCTGTATTTAACTGTATTTTTTTGCTAGTTGCGTGTAACTTAAATTAGTAATTTCATTGCTTAATTTATTTATTTGCTTTCATCTTCTTACTGCACTTTATTTGCAATTAATTAATTTAAATACTTAAATAATTAGTATGGAGCATTGTTTTTGCACTTATTGCTTATTTTGTTGTTGTTGTTGTTGTTGTTGTTGTTGTTGTTGTTTGTAGTTAATTATATTTTTTTTGCATTGTTTTGTAAATAACTTTTAACAATTTTAAATAATTTTTTTTTTCATTTTTAATTTTACTCAATAATCAGTACTGTTTTGCATCTTCTTCTTCTTCTTCATCATCGTTTTGCTTAGATTTTTAGTTTTTAGTTTTTTTGTTTGATTCTGTGTTGTGTTTTCGTTCTCCATTTTTTTAGGACGGGTTTTAAATGAAAATCTGTTTGTAGTAAAAGTTTGCAAATTTTTTTTTTTGTTTATCTTCTTTTTCGCTTTTCTTAAAGAATTATTTTAGCTTAGTGTTTGCTTGATTTTTATTTCGTTTTTGTTGTTGCTGTTTTGTGGCAGTTAATTATGCAAATTTTTATTTTAAATGAATTATGAAGGATTTTCTGCTGTTTTTTTTTTTTTTTTGAAAACAAAATTGACTTTTTATTTAAGATTTCCTAACAAAGATATGACAACGCTGTGTGTACTGTTTAACGGTTAGTCTTTGAGGCCGTTAAGAGAAGCTGTTAAGCGTAGAAACTAAGTAGAGACCAAACCTGGTTTTTATTTTGAGAAAATTAAATTTGAATTAACTCCAAATGGAAGCTCAAGAAAAAAATTTTATGTATTTTTGAAAAGCTTGAGAGCTTTCACTATGAAAAATATGAAAGCTTCAACTGAGGAAAAGTTTACATCGAAATACTTTAAATTACTGCTGTTCGGCAGATTTTCTGTACGAAAGCGGAAATATTGAGTACCATGTTTGAAAAGCTTAAGAGCTTTCACGTTGAAAAATGCAAGAGTTGCTGTTTGAAAGCTTCAAGTGAAAAAACTTCTCAGCAATTGATATTTTGTATTAATATAAAGCAACCGATTTGAAAAATATCAGAGCTTCCTCTCTGAAACTGATGAAATCATAAATAGAGACAAAACTTACTCCGAAAAATAAATTAAATTAGCTCAAAAAAAAAATGCTGTGTTTGTAGAAAAAGCTTTCTGCCAAGTGAGGAGAAGCTTTTTTTCGGAGTATTTTTCCCGTAATATGAAATGCTGGGTTTCCAGAAAAAGCAGAAAAAAGCTTAAACGCTTTCAACTACAAACGAATGGTTTCGCTCTCAGTACTATAGAGCTTTTCGTCTTTTGTATCATTCATCTTTTGTATTATCAAGAGCTTTATACACTACCATTTTTCTCCACTATTCTTCAAAAAAATGATATTTGAAAATCTGTGTTTTTGCAAATCAGTGGGTTTTTCAATTCCTCCAAAAAGGCAAGGGTATTCAGCGAGCTTAATGCTTGGGTACCGGTATTTTAATTAATAGCTTTTTATAACTGTACTGGACAACATTTTGCCCGTTTTTTGACATTTACATAACTATTTTTATGTATATTATATATCTACACAGCTTTCGAAAGTGAGCTTTTTCAACAAAAAGCTCTTTTTTTAATTTTTTATTTACAATTAAATTTACAAATTTTCTAAGCGGCTTTAAAGTTTGCTAGAGTTTTATTTTACTCACTTAGTTAAATTGTTTGTTCATAAATTTTTTCATAACATTGTTTTTCTAATTTTTTTTTTAGATAATTTTTGATAATTTTAATATCTGGTTGGTTATCACATATATACTCTTTGCACGTCGGCGCCAAACTGCTCGTTGCAGCAGCTTTATTAAGCTTATGCACTTTTTTGGGTTACTAAACTTTAAGCTTTCGAAAGCTTTCAGGCTAAACTTATAAACGATATTTAAAATTACACTAAAACCATTTAATTTTACATTTATTGCCAAGTAAATTAAATCTGCAGAAACTAAGCAGCCGCGTAAAAAAGATTGAGAGAGGGCGAGTGCGTGAGAGAGCAGGTAGCAGCATTCCACTCTCCTCGTCGCGCCCCCATTGTACGCCATCGTCTTGCGCAGTCTGCTTCCGCACGCTTCACTCGTTTCATTGCTCGAAGCTGCTGCCGGTGTCCGATTGATGGCGCACCAATATTTTGGGCTAGAGAAATTCACGTTTATTGCGTCCGCCACCACCGCTGCCACTGCCACTGGACGTGCCACTGGTGTTGCCACCACCGCCACCGGCACCGGCGCCGCCTATCAAGGACACACTACCCGCCGTTGTCGGCGAGGTGGCCGCGCTGCTGGATGTCGCTGTTGTTGGCGTCGTTACCGCTGTAGCCGTCGTTGCTGTCGCTGCTGTTTGCACCACACTTGGCTCCTCTTCGAGCAAACGCTGCTGTTCTGGACTCTGTATATGTGATGACTGCTTGGGAGGCGCTGGTGCCTTCCTGCTCTTCGAACGCCGTTTCTTCAGCATCAACGGTCCCAGCCCATTGCCGCCTGCTGTGATCGCCGCTGAGCCGCTCATCTGCGTTTGCGGGCTAAGCAAACTAAGTGTTTGTGGATGGGGCGTAGAGCCTGCGCCTACCGCCGCCGTTACCACAGCTGCGGACGTCGTAGTTGTAGGCACACCAACGCCTCCTGCGCTGACACCACCACCACCACCGCTACTACTACTACTGCCGGCGCCAACGCCAACGCCACTGCCTATCTGTACCACCACACCACCCGCTGTTGTGACGCCTGTGCTGATGGGTGGCGTCGGTGGCACCGTTGAAATTGTTATCACAGTGTCTGCCGCTGGTGTGACTGCCGTCGAATGTGTACCGCCGCCATCGACGACACCAATGCGTGTGCTTAGCACTCCACCACTAATACCGCCTGCACCACCACTACCACCTACACCTCCACCTGAGCCAAGCCCATCGCCCGGCGTTGTTTGACCGGACGATTCGTGCGCCGGTAGACGCTTCATTAACTCACCTAACAAATCCTCAATACGCCCAATACGCTGCTGCATGCGTTGCATCTCCAAACGCACATCCACTTTCAAATCCAACATGGTGGCGATCAAATCGCGTTGCGCCATAGTCGGCGGCTGTTCGCGCAAGCCCGTGTCGTAGGTATCCGATGTAGTGGCGCGAGATGAAGCCATCTCTATTTGTCTCTCACGCTCCAGCGCTAAATTGCGCTCCTTGGCGGCCAACGCAGCCGCGGCGGCTGTTGCTGCCGAAGTGCTTTCGCTCACGAGACGCGTTTCGCGACTGGGTGGGGAAGCATCCAATTCGCCACCCTCGTCGATGGTATCCTGGCGTGCGAGCGCCGCTTGGCTGGCCTGTAGTTTAGGAGCTTTAGGAAAAACCTGAATTCATTCATATAATTGAGTGAGTGAGAGAGAGAGAGAGAGAGATAGACGGTGGCAGGTAGAGAGCGAAAGAGGGAGAGCGTGTGTTTTGATTAAGAGAGTAAATTTGTAGTCGGAAGGGTGGAAAATGCGGGTCGGCAGGCAGGCGTTGGGGGGAGGGTTTTCGAAAGTGGGTTTGGTGGTGAGGTTGAAAGAACAGTTAGTTGTTCATACACGTATAACGGTTTCATAAATCATGTGCGTTTTGTGCGTGAGAGAGCGTACGAGAAAGGAGCAGAAACGCCAGTGCGCGCGTGCGTCGACCAAAACGAAGTTTCACGTAGCCAACGAACGGTAATTAAATTTGAAGTTGCAGCGTTGATATGTGTGATCATCCAGGGTTGCATAGGAGTTGATGATTGTGTGAGGTTTGCGGTTTGTTTACAGGGTTGTTCGGGTATAACGGTATGCATGCATAATTATTTTTTATTTTGTATTTTGTATTTTTGGGAAATGAAAGAGGAAAAATATTGTTTATTAAATATTTAATAATTTAATTAGTGTTTTTTTTTTAATATTTATATTTAACTAACGAACGAGCGCGGTTTTAGTTTTAATAAAGAAATAAAAACTAAATATTGCAGTAAATAAAATTAGGAAAATAATAAAAATACAGGAAATAGTTGAAAATTAGAAAATCTGAAAAAAATATGAATAAAAAGCTCAAGCAGTCAAAAAATACTTCTCACAGCGCCAAAACAAAATTTTCATACGAGTATACTAACAGTGTGGCAACGCCAGCCAGCATTCATAGCATTACATTAGCTATACAGCGAGTACTCTAAGTCTAACACACAAACAATTCTACTCTCTAACTGTTTAGAAGACTTTTTTTAAAGCTGCTCACTACACGCTTCTCTAATTTCAGGATTAGAAAAAATTTCCAAAAAAAAATTAAAATTTTTCTTTTTTGTTTTATGGAGTTTTTCCACAATTGAAATTTTTCTTTTTCGAAATTTTTTCGGATTTGTATTTAACATTTCGGATTGTTGCTTCGAAGTTTTTGAATAAATTTTGACCTTTTGTAATTTAATTTTTCCACTACTATACTTTACAAAAAAAAAAAAAAGTATAAAAAATGAATATTTCAAAATATTTTTATGAGCCAAGTTTTCTTTTTTTAATTTCACTAGCATAATTTTTTTGCCTCTTCTGCGCTTACATCCAGCAGGCGTATACGTCGCCATTTGCGCTCCACCCACGAGTTATGCACCGTAGGTGCGGTGGTTAGTGATTCCAAGCTTTTGACGCGCTTTGCGGCAGCCGCTGCTATAGCTGCGTTAGGCTTTGGTTCCTTTAGTTCGATAATGTGTATGCTCGTGTCTAAAGATTCGACGCTCTGTAAAGGTAGAGTCATTCTTTTTTTGTATGTTTTGCAACGACGTTTGAAGGTTGTGAAGAGTTGTCGAAAGCTTTCGAGCTTTTCTAGCAGATGGATTTATGTATGCATGGATATAAGTTAGCCATATTTTTAGTGTCTTTAATGGGTGTCTGAAGGAAATTGAAATATAATTTTTGATAGCTCTAAGCTAAAAAAACTTTTCCCATACTATAATCGGAGCTTTTAAATTTGGGATACTTTTTAGGTAATTTAACTGAGTCTAAGCACTTAAGCGTAAGAAAAAGTTACGTAGGAGACTTTAATATGATCCTTATGTTTAATTACTCAAAGCTTAAGGTTTCATTACCAAAAAATTAACTGAACTTTATTTAGGACTTAAAGCTTTAAAGTAAATGTAAGGCTTCTCACCTCTAAAGCTCCAACTAAAATCATTTCTCTACAAAAAATAATAACTTTGTCGGTTTTCGGATACTCCTTTCTTTATTTTACTGAATACAAACGCTTGCTCTTCTCAAATTCTATGTCAAAAGTTGGGCTGAAAGGTTAAAAGCTCCTTAGACTCCATAACTTGCACTTATATTTCAAAACTTCAAGTTTAAGGTTTCACCTCGATAATTTCAGAAAATATTTAAACTACAAATCAAATTAGTTACTCTTTTTAAAAATAAAACTCTTCGCTTCGAAAGCCTTTCTTTAATAACCAAAGCAAGGGCGAGCTTTTATAATGCTATGGATTTTTTTATATCTAAACTACCTTGAAAAGCTAGGGTCAAATATTTATTAATGGAAATAAAAATAGCTAAGCTCCAAAAAAACTTCATTACTATGATCAAAAATCATCCCAGATGGTTTAAGATTTAAGCTTCTTCATATGCCCCGATAGTTAAAAACTGTTAATTCAAAAATTCACCAAAAGTATTGTAAAAAACTTGAGCTCCAAAAAATCTTAACTATTGTTTTCAGGCGTTCCTACTAATATTTCAATGGATATTCGAAGCTAAGAAAAAGCTCCCTCCTTTAGTTTAAAGTTTAGAGCTTTAAGTTGCACCGAAAAGCTCAAGATTAAAGCTTCTCCCTACATGCCCTGAAATTAAGTACGCGAAATTCGAAGCTTAACCAAAAAATAATAATAATAATAACTATTATTAAAAATTAAAAAAAAAGAAGTCTAACGGTGCCAATAACGAAAGAAAATATTTTTTTAAAGTGCAAAAAAAAAATATTTTTAGTTCTTTTTTTAATTTGAAATTTTTCTCTTTAACTATTTAAGCTTGTTTTTTTTAGGTAATTACTTTATTGCCTTGTCCACCATTACTACTCGAAGTACTGCTCTGCCTCGCTTGGGCAGTGCTCTCACGCAGACTTTCGCGGGCACTCAAACTTCTCGAGACTGCTACCTTGGCGCTTGTATCGCTAGCCGAATCGACACTTGAACTACCCAAAAGGCGGCCCCATTTACTAGCACGCGTACTACGCGCAGATGGTGGACCCGATGAGGGCGAGGGTGATGGCGTTGGAGAGGGTGCGGCAGCTGTTGTTAGGATGCGTGAATCCTCGGTGAGGGTTAATTTAGCAGGCAACTTCTTGAATGGGTTGTCACAAGAATATAAGAATACAGGAAATAAACAGGAAACACGATGCGGATGGGTAGCCAGGCAAGATTGGTTGCAGGTGAGGTAATTAAAAATGGAAGAATTTTGAAACAAAAATCACAGTAAGAAATTGGAAGGTGTTGTTAGTGCGGTCGGGGTTGTGGAAAATGTTTATACATATATTTGTTTTTTTTTTTTTCAATTGCATGGTTTTGGTATAATTTGGTTTGCATACGGGTTAAAACGTTTGTGAAAAAAAATAAGAAAATAGCAAGAAAAAATTTTTTGAAATTAGTTTTGAATTTTTTTTTTGTATTTTTTTATAAAATATAAAGAAAAAAGTACATAAAACACAACACCAAACATTAAAGCGCATGAGTCCAATATTTTACAGTTAAAGCAAAGCATATTCATATATTATAGTTAAACATGAAGCGGTGGAGAATTGCAAGAGGGCAGTTAGTTGGTGGGAGAGGCATTGGAGAGAAACCAATGATTTTTTTTTTGTATGCATGGGAAGAGAGAAAAAGAGACAACGAGCATAAGTACGAGTACCACATATGTGAATATACAGTTGGTATTTGTTTTTGTTTTTTTTTTTTTATTTTTTTAATAAAAAAAAAAATATATTAATAATTAAAATCAGAATTACAATTTTTTTTTGGAATTAAAAAGCGATATACTGTATATGCACTAAGGAAAATTGTTTAGTGGAGGCAAGGAATGGAATTTAAATATTTTTTTATAACATTTTAATACATATATGTATTATATTTGAAGTTAAATGTTTAAAAAAAAAATTTGTAAAAAACTACATCTTTAATTAAAAACAAAGTAAAGTTATTACTTTTTTAAAAATATTTCTTTAAATTTTATATATTGCTTTCTTTCATCGATATCTCTCTCTATACAGCATAGTATTCAGAAAATTTGCCAATCTCTCTATATATACATTTCTGAGCGCCTTATGGTAGGCAACACAATTTTTCAAAGCACGGCTGTGCTTAAAGAAAGAGGCGAGCAGATTTTTAGAAACTTTTAAAAGTAATTTTTAAAAATTCAAATAATTTAATTTTAGTAGTTTTTGAATGGATTTTAATATAGAAAAAAATCTAGTTAGCATGCTGAATTATTTATAATAAAAAAATATGAATCGATTTTTTTTCTGAAAATTTACTAAAATGTTTTAGAAAAATGTCTAAATATATTTTTATATATCTAAAATATTTTCTATTCATTTAAATTTTGCTAGAAATATTAATTTTTTTTTTGTTTATTTTTATACTCTAAGCCTTTAGGCATTTTTTATTTTCATACTTACAAATTTTCAATTGGAAACCCATTTTTTGAATATTTTTATATAAAATTTATAATACTTTTTTTAATCAAATCAAGGTGAGTAAACACATGGACCAAAAATTTGAAAAAAAGCAATAGAAATTATTTTTGCTGAGAACTAATTTGAAAAAAAAAAATCTTCATAAAAAAAGGTAAAAAATATTTTAAGAAATTTTCCTTCAAATTAATGAAAATAAATTAGAAAAAATCCATTATTTTCAATTAATTTCGTATATTTGAGAATATATTAGATAAAAAATCATTTGAGATGATAAAATATGAACACTACAAGGAACGAAAAAATTTAAAATTGTTTTAAAAAGAAAAAAACAAATATTTTTAGTAATAAAACTTTCTATTAAACAATAAAATTAAAGAAAATTGTAAAAAATATGTGAATTAAAATAAATTATAATAGATTAGAAAAAAAATATATTAACAACGATTTTAATTAAACTAAAAAAAAATATTTCAATATATAAATCATACAATTTTCTTATAAAAATGAGTTTCGAAAAATTTTGAGTAAAAATTTTCAAAGATATTTTAAAAGATGAATTGAAGAAAAATTTACTCGTTAAAAATAAATCAGAAAAAATAGTTTTAAAAATAAAAAATTATTTTATTTTGGAAAAATAGATATATTAAAACATAAATTAAATACAAAACATTTTTTAAATATAATTTACATTTACATATATAATTTATATTCTTTTGAAAGTAAATTTCCAAAAAATATCCCCAAAAAATAAGTAAAAAAGTTTCCTATGAAAAATTGTCCGATATTAAATTTGAAAAAAAAAAATCAGCATAAATTGCACCAGAATAAAGCCAAAAACAAGATATTTTTTTTTTTTACAATACACATACATATACAATACACATATATGTAAATACAAACTAACACACCCGACAGCACACCAAACTAACACAAAATAACACACACAAACATGCTTTTACCGTTAATTTTACCCCCAAACAATGCAATGCACACACAAATATTTGATTTACTAATTATACACACATATGTACATACATATTTACACATACAAACATACAAACATACAAACATACAAACAAACAAACAATCCATAATCCACCCACAGCTACATACCTTCGTGCGATCCGTATCACCATCACCACCCTTCTCCACATCACTTTGACCCGACACGACCTCCTTGGAGCCGGCTGCTTGCACTTGCGGCGTACGACGAAATTTCGAGAATATCTTACGCACCAAATGATCTTGATTTTGAGGCAATTGAGGTTCGTTTTTACGCCGTTCGGCCAATTCTTTCTCGCGCTTCACATCGGCCACCTTGCGAAAAATCAATCGATGTCTTAAATTATAGGTGAGCACCAGATTGCGTGCAAAACTATTCGCAAATGCCGAATAGAAATCGAGGACTTCGAGTAATTTATCACGCTTGATGGCATGCAAATCACAATAGGTTAGGGCGCGCACATTGGCAGCGCTTTGGCCAACGGCCGAATCCTTCCAGAATTGATCGCCGAAGACGTCGCCCTTACCTATGGGAGAGTGTAGAGTTTATTAAGTGTTTTTTTTTTTAATTTATGTATTTAAATAATTAAGGCGGAATAGTAAAAAATAGAAAGAGAGAGAGAGAGAGTGGGAGAGAGATAGTGAAGAAATAAAAGCTTTTAGGCTGCAAGGAGAATGTGATTAAGTGCAGAATAGTGCGGGAGAGAGCTTTAGTGTGCGAGTCTCTTTAAAATGTGCGTAATGTGCTGTTTCCAATGCAAGAGTGACGCTTACCAAAGCTTATTTAAGAGAGTCTCATAATTCTATTATGTTTTTCCACTGAAAAGTGTCAAACTCAAACTCACCCAATATTGCCACAACCTCATCGTCCTGTATCACCTCCAAACTGCCTGTCACAATGAAACACAAACTATCGATACTCTCGCCCGTGTGATAGAGTAGATCGCCAGGCGCCGAGTGGGACATCATGAAGTGCATCGCTAGCGCACGCAGACAACCGTCCGAGGCAAGACGAAATGCTGGATGCTCGTTAAATACTTTGCGATTTAGATGAACACAAATGTCAGCCTTCATATCTTTCGGACAATAGTTTAGTACCTGCGAAGTGGCCAAGCCGTAGTGGGTAACAGCATAAACCAGCAAAATGTCAAACAAAGTGCGTGGAGCAGAGAAACGAAACGAATGCAAAAAGAAAACGATAGAAAATCAACGAAAAAACAGTGTGAAGAGCAATCGAATTTGGTGTGAGAGAGCCAAGAAATGGGAGAGATTGAAAGAAATGAAGAGAGGATTGAGAGCAATGAAATTGAGAGAAATGAAAAATGAGAGAAATATAAATGAGAGGAATGAAAATGAGAGCAATAAAAAAATGAGAGTGTTAAAAATAAGAGAAATAAAATGAGAGAATTAAAAATGAAAGAAATAAAAAAAAAAAGAAAAATAAAAAATATGAGTAAAATGAAAATAATAAAAACAACGAAATAGTGAAAAAGGGGAATAATAACAAATGAGAAAAAAAATTAAAAAATAATAATACAAAAAAAATTAATTTTGTTAAATTATGTGAATGAGAATAAGAGAAATATAAGAGGATAGTTACACAAAATAAAGAATAAAAAAATATAAGAAAGAAAGAAAATGGGAAAAGTGAAAAATAAATTTATAAAATAAAATAAAAATTAGGTCCAAGGAAATGAGGGAAATAAAAAGGAAAAAAAATAGTGAAATCATTGAAAATGAAGGTTAAAACATAGAAAGTAAACATAGAAAAAGTGGAATGAAAAACACAGTAATAAAGGAAATGATGTAAGAAGAATAGAAATAGAAAGAAAACATAAATGAGATGAGGGCAATAAAAATAAGTGAAATATGAAGAGGGAAGTTAATGAAGAAGAATTGAGGAAAAAAGAATAAAGAGAAAAATATGAGTTAAATGAGAGCAATAAAAACGGGAGAAAAAACGAAAAAAGTTCAATAATATAAAAAAATATGAGAAAAATGAAGGAAATGATGAGAAAAATGAGAGAAAAATAAAAGAAGGGGAAATATGAAGTGAGAGGTTAATGAAGAAGAAGAGAGGAAAAAAATAGAGCGAAAAATATGAGTTGAATGAGAGCAATAAAAACGGGAGAATAAACGAAAAAAGTTCAATAAGATAAAAAAATATGAGAAAAATAAAGCAAATGATGAGAAAAATGAGAGAAATAAAATGTAAAAAGTTAGTGGAATGAAAAATGTAAAAAATTTTAGTGAAATGAGTGAATACAAATTTTTAAAAGACAAAGAAATAAGAAGAAAATGTGTGAAATTAGAGAAACAAATAACAAATTCGAGTGAAAAATGTATGGTAAAGAGCGGCAGAAAGAGAGAGAAAGGTAGATTATGGCGAGTTACAGAGTGAGTAAAAAAATAATTTTTTTTATGAATTTTTTAAAATTTTGTTTTTTATGAATATGCTTTTTTTTTTAAATCTAAATTAGCAACAAATGATTTTTTTTTCGGAATTAAATAAGCATGATACACACGCACACTCACACATACGTACAGACATTTTTTTGAATCTCACTTGAAAATGGAATTGTATTGGAGCGCTTGAAGAGAGACTTGCTATGGAGCGGCGATCTTTTCAGTATGCAGTTTTCAATCTACTTTAAATACAAAAAATCCTTCAATAATTATGTTAACGGTATTTTCAGAATGGCACAAATTTTTAATTTAGATAAATTTTGGCAAATGATTGAAGTCATGAAGTGACAGAGAGAGTCATACAAGAGAGAAACTGTTGACTTTGAGAATTGTTTTTGGCGCTTTACAAATTTTAGAGCTGAATTTCTAAAACTATTAAAAAAGAAGACTATTATACTCGCTCTCCCATTTGCCTTGAATTTCATACTATTTAATACTTTGTACTATGCAATATTGAAAAATTTATATGTTCCCTCTTCGGCTTGATTTCGAGAGTTTTTTTTAATTTCTTAAAAAATTAACCTCTCTCACAATTTAATTTTATTTTGCTTTTAATATTCTCTCTATCACATTTATTTTTTGATTTTTTACCTTTGCGAAGGCCATTTTATATTATATTTTTTTACGAGCTTTTGGCATTTATTCAGTCACTACACTGATCTGTTGCCACTTCAAAGCTCCGCAAGCGCTCGCTCAACTTCATTTCCGACTGAGATACCTGGCAACTTTGTTTTGCTGCTTCGCTATGTGAGAGTAAGTGTTCGTTCAACGAGTGATTTTTGTACTCATATGTATGTCATATGTTGTGTGTTGATATGTCATTCTCAAAAGATGTCTTCAGTAATTAGTGGCATGATAATTGACGCTTTAGTGAAGGCTAAATTTTGTACTCCGCCTACTAAATGTCAAAATTTGACAGTTGCTACTTGTCACTTGTTGTTGTTGTGGGTTGTTGTGTCTCTTGTTTTTTATTTTTTTCTCTTTGTGGTCTCTACGAATTTTAGGCACAAACTACAGTCAACGAAAACGGTATAAAGACGCTTCGATCTGTTTTCAAGCGCTACAAAAAGCGCTTGCTTAGAAAATTATTTAAACCAAATACGTTGCAAGCTTTGACAAGTTGTTTAAGTTTTTTAGTTAATTAAAATAAATTACAAAAAAAAAAAAATATTTTATTCAAATAATAATAAATTTTCTGTCATAATTTGGTTTAAATTCCATCTAAAGGCACGGATTTGACGGACGCTTTTCGTTTTGACACACGGATTTACGGTTTTATGAGGCGCTAGTAACCGAGCGTGATGAACGTACGAGCAAGCGAGCGAGCGAGCGAGGGAGCGAGCTTACCTGTGGGCAGTTGAGGGAGTAGAGAAATGAAAAAAGAAAAGAAGAGAGAACAAAAATAAATAAATAAACAAAATGATATGCAAATTGGTATGCTTTTGCATTTATTTTATTTTTTTTTTCATTTATATAATTTTTTTTTCGTTTTTTAATTATTGAAAAAAAATTAGTAAGCATAAAAAGGAAAGCAAAATTTTGCGCAAAAGTTATAAGTTGAAAAGAGCAAACATTTACAAAGCGAAAAATTTGAAGTAAGAGAAGCGTAAAAGAATTAAACGCGTTAGAATAAAAAAGCAAACGCTTTAGAAAAAAAGTTTGACGCATTAAAAGCACAATATAAATTGAATGAAAGAAAGCGGCGCGCAAAGCATTGACGGCCTATGCGTCTTAATTTATACGCCATCAGTGTGTTCGACACTAACTGTTCATTTTCTTTAGCCATGACTGTATGAGCATGTGTGGGGTGTGAAGTTGGCTGCTATGCTTGAGAAAAAATGTGTGCGCTTGTCAATTGCACGGTCATTTCTTGTTTTGTTCTACGTAATTATTGTAAAGTGTTGTGTTGTGAATTTAAAGCGACGTTAAGTGTTTGAGTGCAGCAGTTTTCTTGACTTCGTTAAAGATTTCGTGTATCTTACAATACTTTTGTGTGTTGTATTGTGTGCTGACTGCTTGCGGTATAATGTCGCGCATAATTTTTGGCTGAAGCTGTTTGTAACTACTCTACTGTTTATATAATATAACGAACATACTCAACTGTACACATACATAATTTACATACTTTACAGAAGCACTTTTTGTTGTTTTTGTTGTGATTTTTGAATTCTTTCGCTTGCTTACATACATACATACGAATTTACGTACATACTCGGCAGTTTAAATTCCGGTATGCATATTTATTATTTACACAGGGTGGACCAAATGGAGTGAACTTTTTTCTTTCTTAACTAATCTAATCTTTTTACATCTTATAAAGGTACTATTGGTAATTTTCTTCTCTTACCACAAAGCTCGGCATAATTTTGGACATTTTTAAAATGCCGGTTGACGAATAATATCATTTAAGTGGATGTGTTAATAAGAAAATCTGTGTATTGGAAGCTGATAGTCTAAAAACCACAGCGCACAAACCACAAAATCACTTGTAATCTTCTAAAAATTGGTCCTTCGAGAAATTAACAATAATTTTTACTGCTAAGGGCGTACACATTGCGCCAAATGCTTAGGTAGGGTAGACTGGAGAGCAGCGAATAGTGACAATCTGGAAAGCCCTAACCTCTAAACTCTTTTCTTTTAGACAGGGAAACTACAGAAAATTGGTTTCTCGAAAATTCGATAAGTTTTTCTGATAGAGGTAACCCGTCTCCTTCGCAAGCAATAGAGAAGTGCGCGTCTGAAGGACAAGAGAATGTTCGAAAACCCGTTTAAAAGATGTAAGATTCTTATACTGATTTTAGCCATAATTTACTCAATGCGAGTAATCGGTATTTCTTTACTGCGAGAAATCTCTAAAGAATGAGAAAGCTAAAGAGTGTTTTTGTTACATGCATGGGTATAACCGAACTTCAGATCTACTATATTCAACCTAGAAAATACTGTAGTGATTCGGTAGCTAATACCCTCCGTCTATTCATAGTAACAACAGTCATTAGATGCAGAGCTTTATATGATACTTTATATGATGATTTCTGTTTCATTTGTAGCCAATAGAAGCTTTTGAAAAATCAGAAGTGGGATAATCTAGTTTAGCTACAATAAGCTTTTCAAAAGTCATAAATCGATTGACGTGGACTATTTTGGTTCGTGTAGCTACTAGAAGCTGAAAGTAGTGTCTTCAGGTTTTTTTTTGCTACCAGAGGCTTATCTACAGTTGGAAGTAAGGATGATAACGTAGTATTTTCATTTCTTTGGAGTTAGTACTATACCATACGGCGATGCTAAGTATTCTGTGCCTCACACAAATATATGTATGAATAACTCTCTTACTCAGAAGTAGCTCCCAAAAGTGATATCTTAAAAACTTCCACACTGCAGTTGAACTACGTACTAGACATTAGTACTTTTTTTTTGGCACACCCTGTATATTTCAATTTTCTTTTTTTTTTATTAATATGTAACATGATAGAGCAGCATGAGCGTGTGCGTGTGTTTGCTTTGCGTGCATTCATCATTACCTTTTCCGTATCCAAGCCCTTCGTCATGGCCCATGTGGAGACCACATAATCCATAACGCGTTCGCTTAACGCCTTCGGCACTTCGTGCAGCTTCATGAACTCGCGCACATTGTTCAACATATCATGATATTTTGCCGTCGCTGAGGTCATCTGTTGGATGATGGTCGTCACGTGACCGAATATCGTCGCATACAATAGCGCTATAGCATGAATGGATGGAGTATATACCAAAACACCAGCAGGCAGAGGAAGAAAAACAGAAAGAAAAAAAGAAAATTAAATTTTTCTCATTCTATTGCGCCGTGCGTGCGTGCGCGCAAGCTCACTGGGTTAAGTACAGAATATTTTATGGCGCTTGTAAAATTTTCATTTCAATTATAATTCATTTTATGCAGCATACTTTTCGGCGGCGTATACTTAACACTGAGCTGAATAACAAATGAAATACACACGTACTCAAAATGAATGAAATATGTATGCGGAAAGAAGGGAATAGGGGAGGCGAAGTTTGCATATACATATGTACGAGTATGTATGTATGTATGTGGAAGAAGTGTGGTGAATGAAGAGTGTGTAGTTGTGTGGTTGATTGGTGGTTAGTTGGGTGTGGGAGGGGGGAAACAAAACTAAGGTTTAACTTTAGTTAGTTATTAGTAGCGATTCATTACATTACATACATACATAGATTGAAGAGTAGGCGTCGAAAATTAAGTATGCGAATAACGAACGCAAGCTAGAACAGTAATAAATGCCCAAAATTGTTGTTATGTGAATATGTGTGGAGTGTGGATAAGAGATGAGAGTGCGTAGTGCTGCACTTTTTTATGGCAACACAGCAAAATTGGGAAAAATCGTTTTTACGAGTAGAAGTAGGGTTGATGGGTCATAATTCTAATTATTTTTATATGCTTTTGCGTGAGCGACAATAAATAATTAATATCTTTATTGTTTTTCAGTTGATGAGAAGGCAATAAAGTGACGTCGCTCAGGCAGAAGCACTTCTTTTGGGGTTTAGAGGTCACTTGGGTTGCTAATAACTACTAGAGAGGTGTTCTAACTTCTGAGGAATGGCAGAAAACAGAAGAGCTTTTAGAATTTTATGCAGAGAGCTGAAGGTTTCTTCGAAGCTCATAAAAAAGGCGTTCTCATACAGTCGGGTTTCAATCTCTCCCCTTTTTTTGCATCCATTTCGTTATTTTCTGTTTTTAAATCGGTGTTTTAACAGGTGGTGTCTCCATGATTTTCCAAGACCTAATAAGAAGTCTATATAAAGTCAATGAGTCTGAAAAACCAGTCCGATTTAGCGATTTTTATTCCAAAGCCAGTCGGCTTACGCGCAGCACTGCAAAGGATTTGGAATCCATATCTGCTGCGTGTCTTTCTTGAGAGATGACAAATCCAAGAGTTCCCTTGGCAATCGAATTTTTATCCGGTCAAGGACTATCACTTACACAATAACCTACACAGCACGATGTAGGTTCTTCCATTTATCGAAAAATTTTAATTTTCTCGGCATTTCCTCCACTTTGCGTTCTTAAAATAAGAGCGAGCCTTTGATTATATTATCTCATCAGCCTAAGAATCTGCCTTGGGCAGTTCAGCTGTATATATATCTTGCTGGACTCTTAAATCAAAGAAGAAATCTTTGCGTTTAGAGATTTTCAACTGCCAGATATGTCGCCATAAGCATGTCACTCTTCAATGATGTAAGACTTGAACCAAATTCATTCCTAATGGGAGCCTAGTGGCAGGAGAGTGGATTACCATGGCTACTTTTTACTTCGACAATTTTGTTATAATTTACAGATTCCAGAGGTATTTTGTGACCTGAGTTATGGATCTCTACGAGAGGTCCAAGAAACACCGGAGAAATTTGCTACATTCAACCGAGCACCTGCAAAGAACCGTTGGTAAGAAATCGCCCTTTCGCCCGATGATCCATGAAACGTTTACGACAACACTACATACGAGTATTTCTACTTTCACTCGATTTATCGATATATCAGGTGGCCGCGTTCTACACCGAACGTATTCTCTCTCATTTGATTACCTGATTGGAGGCATAGAGATGCTAATGACCGTACCAAGTCAAGTACATGACTTCTTAGATAAAAAGAAACCATTGGCAAGACAAAGCCAAACTAGGTTGGGGTGGGACAAAAACTTGTCTTGTTATGCGATTTACTTCCCGAAGAGAGAGGCTGGAAGTGACGACATACGGTTTAGCTAAAGAGAAAAGTAAATTCTTCTTGGCTTCAGTGTGAGGCTAGAAGAGTTCACACGCGAGAGAAAGGATAGCCCTCTGTCTTATATTATATTATAGGAGCCTAGATAAGTCACTGTTCTGTAGAACTTCCATGAAAACCTATGAGCTCCTAATGAAATTTGTTGCTGGAGCTGTCATCGTAGTATACTAGCCCAGTTTTGGCCGGACGATCTTGCAACCATGTCTTCTATCTACTTGCTTAACGTAAGCCATAAAGAAGTCTTCTTTGTACCGAAGTCTGCTTAGGCCAATTTTAAAATGTTTCTGGTACTACTGTGGCTACTCTAGTGTACCTCTCGCTCATTTGGATATCTTTGCTGCAAACAGGCGATGGCACAGGTGAAGTGTATCGTTCAACGACTTTTGAAATATTTTCCTCGAGCCGTGGATCATTGAAAGAAAGAACACAACCAAAATGTAAATCCCGACAGAGAGGTATATGGCTGTAATCGTGGGATAACACCAGGTTCCTTCAAATAGAGGTAGTTTACATGATCCCAATTGATATCCCAGGAGAGTTGAAAGGAAGGAAAATATATTTTTCTGCTTCATCTCTTTCGTTTCTCTGCTAGTCGAGTGGGATATTTCGTAGAGCAGACATGAAAAACAACTTCTTCTTCTTGGGCGCGACTATTAATGATAGTTTGTATATACGAGCGAGGCTTGAACCAGCGCTACATGAGTTCCTTGGGTTAACGGAAAGCTAATTAATAGAAGAAACGTAGTTCCGTTTGCTTAATCTCATTAGATTTGCACTTCTTGAGAGCTTTTCGAACAAAAGTGCTGAGAAATGCTTTGAAACAAAAAAATAAATATTTTTTTTTTAGATTTTAATTTCTTTTTCTCTAAATTTGTCAGCTTTTTTCCCAAACAATCTCCAAATACTATGAAATTCTACGAAAGCTCTGTGAAAGCGCTGTGAAAAGCACACCAAAGTCTCCAAACCTTTTACTACCTAAAAATTAACACCAAACAAAGCGTGAACCATAGAAATGTTTTTATGTCGAGAAAACTCACGCATGGCAAAGAATTGTCCAACTATTGATTTTTTTTTTGGAATTGATGACGCAGTGTTGTATTCAAAGTTTATATACAATTTGCAGTTAAATATTTTAAAAATGAGTTTTATGATTTTTTTTTTTTTTTTTTTTTTTTTTTTGTACAGAGAAAAGAGAAATAGTTTTAATAACAGTATTTATGTTTGAAATGTTGAATATTTAGCTTTAAATATTTTTTGATTTGTTTCTTTGTTGTTGTTGTAAAATGCATGAAATGGTGTTTGTAGTGGTGAGCTTTTAGCCTACAGAGAGCTACGAAAATGTTAATTAACTTTCGAAAAATGCAAACTTTAATTAATGAAATTTGTTACAAAACCAACAACAAAACTACAAAATGTAGGTTTTTTTTTGTCAAGAATAAGTTTTTATGAGCGTAAAGTGAGAAAGGGAGAAAGGGAGAGAGAGAGAGCGATCGTAAGGGTATTTGCGAGTTCGTTTTTGACGTTGAGCTTAATTGAGGAAGAGGAAGCACACTACACCAACTCAGCATTTATTAGTTCTAGCGTTGCGTAAACGGTTGCGAAATGTGCGAGCCCGTGGATCGAGTGGCTGGAATTCAATTTTCTGGCGAATTGGAACTTTGAAATTTTTACACATTTAATTTGGTAGAAAAGTTAGTATTTTGAGGCATACAAAATTTTTTTTTTTAATTTTATTAAATTCGATAGTTTTTTTTTGTAATTAAATATTAAAAAACATTGCTAAATAAGTAACTCGATTTCATCACTTTTAAATTTAAATTTAATAAAATTACTATTTTTAATTATTATTTAAATAATTATGTTCAAAATTCAGTATTAGTTCTGTAATTCCAAAATAAAAAAATAAAAAAAAAATAAAAATGAAAATAATAAGATTTTTAATTCGGTGTTTTTGATTTGCAAGTATTTAAACTAATTTTCTAAATTTGTAATTTAATTCAATTTAAATTTAACTTTTAGCATTTTTCTATTCAATTTATTCTACTCCAAACAACATTGCATTTCTCTCGTGTATTTTTCTCATTAAGCACACTCTCTGCATTCTCTTTTTGCTCGGGGCGCACACATTTTTGCCTTAAGCTACCGTTTTGCGTTTACGCCTCTTAAGAAGCGTTGCGCAATTTCGTTATTATTTTCATTTTATTTTAAAGCGAAATTGGACGCGGCAACGGAACGTGTCGGACACCGCACCTGCAATTATCATCATGCAGATGGTGAACACCTTCTCGTTGTCCGTCTCGGCGGCCACATTGCCAAAGCCCACCTGAAAATATACAAAATTAATAAGAGTTAAATTCAAGAAAGACAACAACAAAGTATGCAAAATAAAGAGAGCGTAAATGAAATTAAAAAGGTATGCCCAGAAGAGAGTCTTCGATAACTTCACCACCCGTTACGACCACCCCACCACGGCAAAGTGAACTCACCGATGTCATGCATGTCATGGTGAAATACAGCGCCGTCACATACATACTCTTGCGCGACGGACCATTTATCAGTTCCGGTCCGGTGTCGTTGCTCCAGATGTACGAGTATGGTGATTGCGTCACATTCGCCAGCTTCCACAGCCAACTGTACTGTATCTATATGAAAAAAAAAGAAAGAAAAAAATGAAAAATAAAAATGAAAATAAAAACAAGCAACAAAATAATGTAAGTGCAAACAGAAATCACACGAAAGTAACAAAATTTTGCGGGAAAAGAAGCAATAAAAATAATATGAAATAATGACGGGAAGAGAAGAGCAATTGGTTGGAAAATTTGCCATAGGTTTAAATGCTTGATTCCTTTTTGTCATACTCTTTGTGTCATGTACCACACTTACTCCATTATCGGCATCGCTGCGGCCGATCGAATACCAGATGCAAGCCAACCAATGCGCCACCAGCATATAGAAGCAGAGCAACAATATGAGCATGGCGGCGCCATATTCCAAATAACGATCCAATTTACGCACGACACGTCCCAACCGTAGAAGACGTACCACTTTCAAGGCGCTAAAGAGCGAGCCAATGCCGTCCTCGTCACGATCGAAGGCGTTGAAGACATCATATGGCAGGCAACTGAGCAGATCGATGATGAACCAGGATTTCAGATAGTTCATGCGTATCACTTTCGGATCGCTGACGACCTCACCGCCGGGGCCGACGAACGTTGTGTGGAAATTTAAAACTGCAAAAAATCGAGAGAGAGAGAGAGAAAGAGAAAAAGAAAGCGAAAGTGTGGAAAGAAGAAAAAATGTGTAAGAAAGTGTTAAAACAATGTGAGTAGTTTTAAAATCTGCTCTTAATGGAAATATTACTTTTAAGCAGCAACAGTGTAAATAAATAGATCAACTCACCGATATCTATAAAGAATATAACATCTACAATGGAATCGACAACGAGTAGTGAAACGTCTTCTGAAGTTTTATTTTTAAAAGCTACATTGTACGGCACCTGTAAAATATAGGTAAACAAATTAGATGCCCAACAAAAGTAAAGGTAAGTCGGATTTTTTGAAATTGTCGGACTCTCACTAACTCAGAAATGGAATACAGCGCTTGATCTCAAAAATCACAGAAGTGGAATAGAAACGTCGATTTCAAGATTCAAACGAGGAATACAGAAACTGATTTTCGAAAATTTAGAAGTGGAATAGAGTGGCTGACTTCGCGAAATTGAGAAGTGATGATTTTGAAAAAATCAGAAATGGACTAGAGCTGCTGATTTTGAGAAGTTCAAACGAGGAATAGAAAAAATTGATCTTCAAAAATTTAGAAGTGGAAACTCGTAAGAGGAACAGGGCAACTCCCCTCAATATTCTCCCTCAATTCATCTAATGTCTTCACTTAGCTTTAAGAATTAAAACCCATCGACTCTGCATTGATCGCGTCCCCCGGCATCTTCAGCAGCTGCTCACATGCACACAATCTGCTCCTCTTATATCTCTTCGCCAGCATCTTTCCACCCCTTCCATTCAACAAATAGATATAATTTTCATATGAGCGCACAAATTACACGAATTTAAGCTCTCAAACGCATAGCAACAATTTGGCCCACAGGAAAAGCACCACACTGTGGTTGTTGGGTTGTAACCGTATTTATTATGCCCAAAAGAATATGAAAACATGCATAAATGTTGGCTTATAACGTACACAGCCACATTTCAAATATAAGCAGTTACCGTGTGATACCGCGCTTTTCAATTCCCACACGGATTTCCATTTGTACACACAGCGTTCATATCCAAAGCGCAAGTTTTTGTATTTGTAACGTAATAAAAGTGACAACGGTGGTGGCGTTGAAGAGAGAACCTGCGGTAAATATATGGAGGGTGGCCGGAGAAGAAAAGTGGTGAAGCTCTGAGTGAACTCTTCGGGAACCCTCAATTCTCTCTGTGATAAGACTATTCCTATAGAATCTCCACTAAGAGGTCCAAGGCGGATTTGTAAGAGCGTTCAGAGGTTTACTGCCATGATATATGCTTTTTGCGTAGTAAGACTCAAGCCTCTCTTCGAGGACGGTACTTATTTATGTAGAAACTCTTTTCAGCTGCATCTGAAATTCTTATTTTTTAGAAAGCCAAAAGGGAAGCAAGCGTAGACCTCTGAAAGAGAATGTTTATACAGCGAGTAAGACTCTTTTGACTCTAAAGAGTTCGTTTGCATCATAGCTTTGGTATTGTGTTTCAACGTAGTATTCTTGAGCTTTCAAAGCTCTTAAGTCGAAAGTTACTCTCTCAAAGCTACAAAACCTCCAATCCCTTCGCTCAGAAGTTGCTGTCTCCAAAGCTTGTATGCTCAAGATCGTAAGCTTGAAGCTCTGAAGCTTTCAGCTATAAAAGCTCCTACTCGAACTTTTCTTACATAAACTCTCTTGGTCAAACTTTTTCAAAAACTTTACAAAAAAGTTCCTTTTGACCTTCAAGCAGTGTCAATTGTATAATTAATGTCCTTACACATATACTTATTCCATTTCCAAGTACATCAGCGTAGATACTTACAATAATACATCCATATACATATATGTTTATAGCTTACCATAATGGCTGTATAAAATGTTAAACACAATATCACCCAATCCCAAATTGCTTTAAATGCACAATAATGCAAAAGAATGTGTGGCGGCGTTTTAGGCGCTTCTTGTCTGTATTGTGGCATAATATCGGCGCTAAGTGACATCATCTGTACAAAAGAGAGAGAGAGAGAGAGAGAGAGATAGGGAGCGAGAGAGATAAAAGGAAATGTATGTAAAAAATTCAAATTTTAAAGAGAAGATTAAATGTCTGCTTGACGCTTTTCCTTAACGGTACTTACATGCGCCAAATTGGATTGTTTCGTTGGATCCTTTAACGTTGGCAGATGTGCGCTGAATTGACGGCTTCGTGTCACCGAACGCGCCAGTTTGGCGAACTTCGATAAACCTAAAACTTGAGAGTAAATATCAAAAAATTCATATTAACGACAACAACACAACACAACAACGACAACTGAAATAAGAAATTAATTAGTAATCACGAAAGAGAGTTTAAAAATTGGCTGAATTTGCCATTGATATTGTATAGCGGAAGATCACAGATGAGAAGAGGAAAATCTTCGATCATTCTAAGAAGAGCATTTCGAAGCCCATGAAGCTCATAAACATGCTAAAGGGAATTTATTTTTAGAAGAACACATAACTTCATGGACTTCCAGCTCCAATCTAGGAGGTGAAGATCGCACAAGGAGTAATCTAGTTTCTAGAAAAGTGATGAATTCATTGAAATAGTGAAAGTGACAGACAGAAGCTTTGCTTACTGGACACAGAAAAGTTGCAAGACCTTCGACCAGCGGTGGACACAATAAAGAGTGAAAAAGCAAAGCTTTGGTCGTAAGTAGAGCTTTTTGTTATCAGCTAGCTCAACTTTACCCAACCGTATCTGCCTTGGATCGAATTAGGGTTACATATACAGTAGGTATCCTTCTTATTGATTTATTTTATTCATGCGTTTTGGAAAGGACACCTAATATGTACGCTCTAAGAAGGTTGCAGGTAATGAGTGGGGCTGAAGTGGATGGACAAAGGGCCTCCTCGGGCCTAAATGTATTGATGATCTCACATCAATAGCCACAACTATTTAACTTAAACAAAATAAAATTGTTTTATTAAATTTTGTTTATTATTTGATTTTTTGCTAATATTTTAATTAATTTTTTGCCAGAATTTTGCCTTCAGAAAGTGAATTATTAATAAATAAAATTTTCAAATTATTATTAAAAAATTATAAATAATAATTAAGCCAATGAACGCCAATTACAATTACTTTTAGTATTATGATTATAGCAAAAAAAAAAAATAATTAAAAAAAAATAAATAAAAAAATAAATTAAATTAAAAAATTAATTTAAAAAGCTTATTTATAAGTTGCCCTCTAAATAATCGTATTTATTTTCATAAGCTATTTTAGAAAAAAAAGCTTTAAGATATATTTTGAAGTAGCTAAATACTTCGAACATGAACATGCCAGAGCTTGATCATAGCAAAGCATAGTTTTTATAATGAAGCTGTCAAGCTTTTGAGTGCTTAAAAGCATAAAAGCTCTCTTTATATATTGAAATTATTTTTTTTTACGAAAAGTTTAGTTAATAATTCTGCATTTGGTTCTTCATTTTGTTGTTCAGAAAAATATGAAAGTTTTATTTAATTCTCAGTTAAAACTTTGAGTTTCTTTAAAAGAGCTTTTGCATTATTTAGAGCATTTTTGGGGCTTTAAAAGGCTAAATCACTTAGAAAATATTTAAATGTATAGCGAAGACACATATTTTTGGGCAACAAAAAGTTATGCTTTGACATTCAGCTTGCCTTTAGTGGCATTGCATTCAAAAGCTCACTTGGAGCTTTATTTTTCACGTACAACTATACTGCATAGTATATTACTTCTTGACTATAGTAGTAATAAAATTTGAATTGTTAATAGTCTTCTACTTTTCTTTTATTTATTATTTTCCACCACTTACCACCCTTTGTATCCTCGCTGTCGATCGGCTGTTTCAATGCCGTTATATCCCGAAATGTTAGCAAAAATAGCACAACCAAATCCCTTTCGTTGCGTATGGGCGCAACCTGCAGTAGTAGCCATAGTGGTGTTTCTGTGAATGGAAACGGATTAATTAGTGAGAGAATAAATGGCGCGTTGAGAGGTGATGACGAAATGAAAATATCGATAAGACTGGCATACAGTGTTAAGATTTTTGGAAAACTGTTTTTTTTTTTGTATATGAAATTTTCGTTCAAGTCACTTAATTTCTTGTTCCACAAGTTCAGAAATTCAATACTCGCCCAATTGTAGGCTACAGAATTTTTGCAAAATTTGCAGTGTACAAAAAACTCAATTTTTCACCGAAAGAGTAATGGAAGCAAAATCAAGTAGCACTGAAAACCATTTTCCATACATAAAAAGTGAACTGTTAACACTGGTGTGACCATTCTCCCGTATGCATTAGCAAGAAGTTGGCTAGTTTAAGGCTCTACGTTGCACTTTAGAGCCTACTCCCTCATCTCGAAAAACCATTTCGCTCATACTTTAATTGCCGACACTCCGAAAAAATTTCACAACACAGTTATTACTAGTCTGACGCGAGACGCAGAAACACAAAAAAGGGAATACGAACACTCAACGTGAGCGCATAAAGCAGTACGTATAGTTTATAGGCTTCTAGAATCAAAAAAAGTACTGAACTCGGCAGGATGAATATGCGCTAAGTGTGGAAATATATTCACTGTGTTGCTGCTGTCGTCACAGGCTGCTAGTTGTCCGTAGGGTCGCGTTGGCTGCGACTTTTTGCTTTCTTTCCTTTATCATTATTTTTTCTACCAATGGCCCGTACATATAATTGTTTTTGTTCTTTAATTTTCCAACCGAGGTCAGAGCAGTACGCGGCCTCGGCGGCCAATTCGCGCATCTAAACAACAACAAAACCATCAATTTTGTGATTTGTTGACAGAAATCAATTTTTTTACAGCCACAAAAAAATCAGAAGTAGAATCGGTGCAAAATTATTACCAACAGCCGCAAGTTGATTGCGAGTGGGCGAGCAGCAAGTGCTGGAAGGGCAAAAAAAAAAACTAATCAATTGCGCTGAAGGCTTAAAAGCACCCGCGAGGGCCGCTGTGCACGTTCTGTGGCCGGTGTGAAGCGGCGCTGCGGAGAGAGCAGGTGACAACATTTTGCTAATCAACCTTCGCTTGCCGCGGAGCATACGCGGGTGAGCAGTGTCGGTAAGCCATTGAGTCATTGGACCATTGATTTGTGCGCGAACTCAGCTGCTGCTTGCCGCCGTCATTGGCGTTTAGTGCCTTGTCATGTCGAATGGCAGTTATGGCGTTGTTTTTTCTTTCCACCAACAGCTGCTACTTAATACATTTTTCAACCGCTCTTCTTCATTGCGCTGTTCTTCTTCTTAATATGACATTTTAGTTTGACATGTTTCCGTCCTGACATTGGCATTTTTCCAAAGGACTGTTACTGCTCTGCTTCGCGGATAATTTTTTTGTCGGTTTTAACCTGAGAATTTCATTATTCTTTGTTTTTTTTTTCATTTCTTTTGCTAATTTGTGGCAGCGCTGAACCTTGTTTTTTGTGAAATTGGCTAACGTTGCATATTTGTCTCTTCAATCGTTCTAAAATAAGACAATCGAACGAATGAAAAGTATGACATTGGCATTATTCATTTGTAAACATTCTTATCGGGTGAGCATAATGAAAATTGGAAGGTCGGTTTGAGGCTTCACGAAACTATGTTTCCCTGTTGTAAGCTCAATTAAACAAATGTGCTGAGAAGAGCACCTATTATTGACGGACACTTGCAATTCTCAGACTATTTATTGAGTTCCGACACTTCCTCTCTGAGAAAACACTTCTCCAGCCTTGGAAACTGTGGTGGAAATGTACACTCGGCGATAGTGAACTCGAAATAGAGATTTGGTTACCCGGCTGTGACGAAGTTCGACTGCCTATTGCTCGCATCAAGAATGATAACAAGGGAGAGGCCAACGGTGGCAAAAAAAAAAACTGCAAAGTTACTAAAACGGAATCCTACCAATTGACTGATCTTATTGTAGTATCAGATTTTTAAATATCGCATATACAGCCCTAACTCTATGTGAGAGACTAAAGACCAACGTTAACGAAGAGTTTACACCTTAGTTGTGTGACTGTCAGACTCCGTAGATCCACCATTGGCCAGAATATTCTATATGCAAAGAATGGAAAAGGATCACCACACAAATAACCTCTTCGTCAATAAAATGTACTGACTAATTGAAAGTGAAGTCCACTCCAGATAATCGTAGCCCTAACAGAGGATAAGACAATATGGTGAAGAAGATGAAAAGGTTTCGAGAAAAGCATAGCTCATAGAAAATACCAAACACCCTAGCTGATGGAACAACGAGATGCCGAATTTGGCGTTTTCGGTGCTGTAGGCACTGAAGGAAGCACAGGATGACCTCCGAGTGTAAGTAAAAAAAAAATAGAAATCGGTCAGCAGAGTTGAGACTAAGACCCACCGGATTAAATCAAGTACTGGAAAATTCCGCTTCCGGTTGAGCCTACAAAGGGTAATTTCCAAATGTAAATATTCTTTCCGAGAACTCGAAAATAATATCAAACCGGCAAGGGAAAACGAAAATACATTATTGGCGCCCACCAAATTGAAGCTGGAAATCGGAAAAGAAAGGGATTCCGACAAAATTCAGAAGTGGAATATCGGAAGTATGAGAAAAGAAGAATATATACATAATAAGAAATACATAAATAAGAAATGATGACGGTCAACCAGAAATATTCGATTGAACGATATATAAGGAAATTGGAAGTCTCTAAATGAAAAGAATCAACGGAAAAGAAATTAGGCACGGAAACAGTACCTGGAATACTTTGAATCATGAATTCATGGCATCGAGACCAGCTGTGGAGGGAACTAACTTCGCTTGGCGTCAACTATTTTCGTCGTTTCGCAAAATAAATAACGTCTGGAGCGCTATTTTTGATTCGGTCATAAAACGAGGCGATCAATTAAAAAGAAGAACTTCAGAAAACTGTTCAATTGCAAAAAATATGCCGAGAGAGATGAGCTCTTATGACGTGGTTGGACAAATCGACGAGACAACGTAGTTGATTAGCTTTAGGATTCCAATCTTATTAGACCAAGACTTATTACCTACGGATAACCTTTATATCTGCAAATATGTTTCACCAAACATTCCAAAGTCGTTGACGTTGCAAACTGAAATTTAATGTGAAATGCGCTGAATGAAAATTGTGCAGTAAACGGCGATTTTTATAGTCAAACAGACTTCAGCGCCACCTATCGCAGCTTTTGTGGGAGAAACGGAGAAGTGTACGTTTTATGCTCTGTTTTCAATTTCGTTGTTTCAAGCTATGTGTAGCTTTAAAGAGAATGCAGTATGTGGAAGCGTGAAAATATTGAGTTCACATGAATCGAATATCTGTCAAGCTATGGAAAATATGCCTCCCCAGCAAGCTGAAACGCAGCTTTGATTGGTGCTTAATGAGTAAATGCCAAAATTTTTGCATTTCGAATGTGTGAATGCCTATTTGTACACTTAGTTATGCCGACTAATATATATACCGTTAGACTTTTTGCTGTAAAATTGAAAAGCTTTGTTGTTTGTGCATTTTCGAGTGGAAATTATAAGCGTGCCGTGAATGTCAGCAACCAAATTGCGCACATAAATAAATATTTACATACTCGCAGGCAATTGTTTTTACATTATTTATATACTTATACATATATGTTACATCTCATTTACGCTGAAATTAATTTTCTGCATGTATTTATTATGCACATACCTCATTTGAATATTAATTTAATTAGCATGCAAATTAACTAAATAATTAAAATGTCATTTCAATTTGACTATATTTTAATTGATTTTTCGTTGAAAATTTAATTGAAATTCAGCTGATGAACTAAATAGGGAATTTTTTTTAAGTATTTTTGATTAAATGCTAATAAAATTTCAAAAAGTTCTCTATGTAATTATTGATTTTTTTTTAAAAGGCCTGAAGAGTTCATTTTTATGACGCAAATATACCCACTTCATTATTAGAGTTTTTTTTTTTAATTTTTATACTTTATACTTTCATTTTGTTATTTTTATTTTTGATATTCTTTTTTCTTCATTTTTAGTTTTTAATACTATTTTTTAATTTATATATATTTTTTATATGCTTTATTATACATTTTTCATTTTGCTCTATTTTTTTTTTTTTTTGTTTATAATAACTTTTTATCATTTTAATTCTTTTTTTACTTTATTATTTTGAATTTAATTTTTTTTTTTTGTTTTTCTTCTTACATTCATTTCCATCTTTGCTGCGTAATATACTATTTCCTATACGTGACAGCAACATTTTATTTCCCAGTTAAATTTTGGTTATTGTGCATTGCATATTAACAGGCGCCACTAAGGAAATTAACAACAACGACAGCTGGAGATTACCGAGAGCACGTAGTGCATTGAATGCAGAAAGTAGCAATTTCGCTGCGAGTTGTTGTAACAAAAAAAAATTTGGAAATGCAGCGAAAGAATAGAAAAAAGAAATAAAATTATAATGAATGAAAAAGTAAACAAAAAAAGCAAAAAAAAATAAATGAAAAGAAATATATTAAAATATTGAATAATGCATTCAAACAAATAAACGAAAATTATATATAATATAAATATAGTTTTTTAAAAGTAAATTAGTGAAAAACAAAAAAAAAAAAAATGGGGGAAGAAATCAAAGCAAAAAACAGCAGAAGTTAAATAAAAATGAAAATTTCACTTATTTTATAATATAAAAATTAAAACAATAATTAATAAATTTGAGTAGGCAACTCAAAAAAATTTAAAAATCCTTAAGAAAATGCACAGAAATAAAATAATAAAAAACACTTATTTAGTAAAATAATAAATAAATAAAAATATGAAATAGAAGAAAATTATAAAAACGTAAAAGGAATTTAAAAAATAAAAATTCCTTATCTTAATTCAAGTAAATTAAAAAAAAATATATTAAAAGCAATAAAAATTTAATACGATAAGATGGAATAAATTTAAAATCAAATAAGCAAAAAATTGACAGAAACTATATAAAAGTGCTGAAATTGAAAGAATAATGGATTGGAAAAAAAAATTTAAAAATTTGTAGAATTTAAAAATATGTTAAATGAAAAATAAAAAATTAAAAAAAAAACAATAAAAATTAAAAAAAAAAAACACTCCAAAAATATATAAAATTTTTAAAATAACAAAATATAAAAAAAACATGAAAATATATGAAATTTCAGAAAAAATAAAATTAAAACCATAACAACATTAATTAGTTATCAGAAATCTTAATTAAATTAAATTAAAATTAAAGCACAAAATGTCAAAGGGAAAAATTGAAACTTACTCGAAGAACTCGACGATATGTAACGAACTAATAAATATAAAGTAACTAAAATATATAACAAAATTTAGTCTGTCTGAATATGTATAATTTTTTTTTTTTTTTAGAAAAATACGAAATATAATAATGCATAAAAAAATAAAACAGTTAAAAAAATTTAAAAATTTTAATGAATTTCAATTTATAACAGAGAAAAAAAAAAATGAAACATTAGAAAAAATTAAGATGAAAAAATTAAAAAAAAAGAATTTAATTTGAAATATATTTTTTTTAAATCTAGTATTTCATATTTATAATCTTACTAAATAAATCATATAATTCTGCATAAAAAAATTATCAAAATTAAGAATTTTATGCAACCAAACTCATTTTCTGCCTTAATAACTTTTATTTCCTCTCCCGCTTTACCTTTTATATGCTTTTATTTATAACTTTTCGTGTATTTATTTCCCAAGTTATGCCCAAACATTTTTCTGAATATGTTCTAAACACATTTTCAAGTCAAACCACTACATGTACGAGTAGTAATAAAGCCACTAAGAGGCATAGAAACTTTTCGCCTACATTTATTGCATATATTTAGGGGCGCCATGGGTCGCAGTGAAAGCGAAAAGTTAAAATAAAGACATAAAGTTGTGTTGTTGACCAAAAACAAAGAAAGAAAATTGCAAAAACTTTTCGTGTTTAGTATTGTATTTCATGTTGTGTGACAAATATGGTTTGATGCTGCGAAAACGAATGAGATTGGTGGGCTCTACCCTCAGTCGAGAGTGATTTCTCTTCAATTTAACAATTTAAATGAATAGAGATAATGTTCAAAGTGGTCTCCCAATTATTTAATGATACTATATTTTGAGAGACTGCTTTTAAGTACTATTTATACATAAAAAAGTTTGCTAAATACAGAGGATTTTTTAAATGATTTCGTGAGCAGTCCTAAAAAATTAAAAAAAAAATTAAAATTAAACAAAATAAAAAAAATTGAAATTAAAAAAAAAATAAAAAAAAAATCCAAATGAGATATTAAAAAAAAGTTTTAAATACAATAGAAAAAAATCTAATATATGTTTTACTCCAATGAGTTTAGATTCCTTTGATCTAAGCACTGAGGAGATCTCTAAATCGGGTCTCTAAAAGTTTTATATTTTTCGTTTGTTTATTATCTACTCAAGCTCGACTACTTTATGCTTTCATGATTTCAAAAATCAAAATCAATCAATCAAGTATTTATTCAATTTATTTGCCTAATTTGCCATTCTTTATTAACTGTTGTAGCTTCGAGTCAACCGGTCGCTTTGTACCTGCTTGCGGCTTTCCATATTTCGACATCGTGCAGCCGCATTGGGCATCTGGAAAAATGAAAAGTATTTAGAAGAAAAGAAAATGCGATTAAAAAAAAAACGGAAAATAAATTTATAAAAAATGAAGTGCTGCTGTTTAAAATAAAAAATAAGAAAAATAATTAAATTCAAAAATTGGCAGAATCAGAAAATAATATAAAATATTAATAATAATTTTATATTAAATTATTTGTGAAATATTTTTTTAAATCTTTTCCAAATTTTTTTCCTATTTTTTTTGGTCATATAAATAAAACTATAATTTACTTGCAATTTACATTAAAAAAATCCATTACTATAAAGCAATATATTAGCACATTGATTAAAATGTTAAATTTACTGCATAAAAAACGAAATTAATGCGAAAAAAGTAAACAAGGAAAATTTAAAAAAAAAAATAAAATTTTATAAGAATAAAATATTTAAATTTTTTTCAAAAATATTTTTTTTTTAATTTTATCCCTTTTTTATTATTTTAGTTAACATAAAAAATAGAATAAAGTTCACAAAAAATAATGAACATTAATCCATTTAAGTGAAGAAAAATATTAAAGCAAAGCTTAAAAAATATTAAATAAAAAAAAACTTTTTTTTTTCTGTTTCTCTCCAATAAATCAAAGCAATAACATAAACCACTCAAATGCCTCGCCCGTTGTGTTGACGTCAATTGCATACTTGCTTGCGTTGTTGTTTTAGCTGTTGCACTAACACTGATTACATTGTTTTTGTAAAAGAGATACTGTTATAGATTATGATACGAATGAGCATACTCAGCTGGGGTGCATTGGCTGAGATATGAAAGGCAATTAACCCTTTACTAATGGCACTTAGCTTAATTGCTGTTGAGCTGAAAATTTCATATTTTTTTATTACTTTTCTATTTTTAGTTGTTTTTTATATCTCCTTTACATCATCTTCCGCAGTGCATTTATTAACATTTTTCTTGTAGTTCACAAACACAGTGAGGGCAACTCATAATAAATGAGTTTGGAGTACTCGATATTAGCTCACCGAGTGGCTACACTCTATAAAGGGTGCTTGATGTTGTTGTAGTACGTTTTTAAAATATTTTTAAGGAGGATAATGCTAAAAAAACAATTATCTTTGCACTGCAAAATTTTCATTCAAAAAACGCTTCATTTATATTTTTTTTAATTTAATTTTTAATCATAAATTTTGAAAAGGTGGCAAGTCCTTCCAGAATATTTTTGTCACCAAGGCAAAAACATTTAATTTAAAATATATTTAATTGCAAACGGCTTTTTCATTTAACTTGGTTTAACTCTTTATTTATATACAAAAATTTCGCCAGGTGGCAACCTACTTGAAAACAGTTTCAGTTGGTTTTTAAGAATTCATTAAATTTAATATCCATATAATAATATTAAACAAATTTTAAATATTAAAAAAAAACATAGGTGGCAACTCTACTTAAAAATGTTTTCAGCCATATTCTTTTTTAATTTTCACTTCTTAATATATTTTGAACAATTTATTCATATTTTTCATTTAAAAAAAATTATTTAAATTTCAAACAGGTGGCAACATTCTGATATTTTTATCAAATTTTGAAAGACCCAAGCGATATCGCCGCGTACTTCAAACTATTTCAATCAGCTTAGCCTCCCTAGCACTTAATTTAAAAAAAATTTCTCCGCCAAAAAAAACCACCCTGTATTTCTACATATTTCCACATTTCAACTAACATTTACACTCATTTGCTCTAAATACATATTTTAGTTAAAGCAACTGACTAACAGTCCATAGTAAAAATATGCATACGAGCAGCATAAACTACTATTTTTACATATACAACAAAAACAACAAAAAAGAAGGTAACAAGCTGTTCCACAATTTATGTATGTATGTTTTTCCTACTGTTCGATACTTTAAAAAATGACAAAACCTAAAAAATAAAATAAAGTACCAGTAAAGGACTGGGTATGAGGCAATTGGATGGCTGGCTGGTTGGCTGGTTGGCTGGTTGGGTGGCGAAGGTGAGGACTGAAGGTGGTCTGAAAACATATGTTAAAATCCTAATAATATGGCAAATGTAGTGAAAGCGTGCTTGTGTATTGTGTATATAATTGTATGTAGTAACAAGGAGGCATATACAGTTAGTTATGAGTATGTTCTGCTGCGCTGGTAACAATTCGCTTGCATATTTATGAGGCAGCTTAGCTGAGTCTACTTGCATATGCATGTATGTCATTCGACATAAATGTAAACGAGAACAAGTTGTCGTGTACATGGAGTAACAAATACTATATGTTTACAATACCGACAAGCAGGGTTTACTGCTATCAACAACACAAATGAAAGTTCACAGGCTCTAGTAATTGTTGCCTATTTCAAGGCGCGTACGTGGAAACTATATACAAACATTGTTAAAAGAAAGCATTAAGTCAAATGATAAAAATAGTATTTTTTTCAATTTAATTAAATTTTTTTATGTATAAAATAGTTTTAGTAAAATAAAAAACAAGAAATTTAAATTAATTTAATTTAATTAAATTTATTTTATTTCATTTTATTTTTTATTTCATTTTATTTGTTTTATTTTATTTTATTTCATTTTATTTTATCTTATTTCATTTTTATTTATTTTATTTTATTTTATTTTATTTTATTTTATTTTATTTTATTTTATTTTATTAATTTTGTTAAATTTTATTTTATGTTATTTATATTATTTTACTACATTATGTTTAAATACTTTTATATTACTTTTTATAACTTATTTTAATGTACTTTATTATTTGACACTTTGTTTTGTTGGTTTTATTTATATTATTTTATTTTATTTAATTTTTATATTTTTTTCTTTATTTCATGGTGTTTCCTTTTACACCATTTAATTATTTATTTAATTTTATTTTGTCTTATCATACTTTTTTATTCAATTTACTTTAATTTAAGTCATTTTTTTAAATAATTTGAAATGTTTTAAATTAATTTTTTTATTATCGCCTGAACGTGTAATTCTTCATTTGAACCGTATAATATTTCAATACTTATAATTATTTAGCCTAAAAGTATGCACACAGAAATTATCTACAAACTATCTGTATATTATATTTAAGTTCAATGATTTGTTGGCATTTTATTATTATATCATTAATTTGTAAAATAAAGTAAATACTGTACAATTACAACAACAAACTGCACAAAATTTTGTAAGTAGACAATTAAAATGTTGCCTACATTTAAGCGAGGCTTGAACGTATTTTGCTCCTAAATGCAAGCAATTATTACTTTTGCCAACATTATTTACTTAAACATAAAATAGCCATTATATGTGGTATCTCGATTTAGTTAATTAGCAATTGACCGCAGCAGCTATGAATAACGGGTTGTGAAATAAGCCTACAGGTATGCTTTAAAAAGTTAAACAAAAGAATTTAAAGTGATAAGCAACATTATAATTTACAGTTTTCAATTTATTTTTCTTCATAAAAAATATCAAATGTGAATATCCCATCTCTCCCTTGCGCATCTTCGTCATAATTTTACGCCATTTTAACGACGGAAGCGACAGTAAAATGCATTTCCAGTGCTTACAGCTTATCATTCATCGTTTATCGGTTAACGGAAATGACTAAATCACATTCCGTTGCAATGAATACAGGAAGCATATTGAGTTGGCGAGGTGCGAAATGTCATTGATCAGGCTACGAAGTCCGAGGGAGAGAGGAAGAGAGCAGCGACTACTGCTACAGGTGAATGTGTTTCAATGATTGTAATAACATGATAAAGCGCTGCTCTTTCTTACTTTCTCACCCTTCCATTTTCGTGTTTTTTTTTTGTACAGAAAGCAATCACTTTAGTGCATTTGAGAGCCACACTCAACTTTCTATGAAATTTAATGGCTGGGCGGTACTGTAATTATGCAAATGAGCACGACTACGCCCTTTCAGCTTCGATTATTTTGTTCAATTATATAATTATTAAGTAGTTCAAGGTATTGAAGTATACTTTTGGACATACGTGTATGAGTGAGATGTATTTAATTCTCTGAAGGGATTTATTTTTCGATCTGAGAGCGATTTATATACTACTCAAAGATCAGACCAAAGAATAAAAAAGTTTGGGAGACAGAAAAGTATCCTTGAGAGAGTGCAAAAGATTCAAAATACTCTCCTGAATGGCAGCCAGACCAAGCTGAGTGTCTTCCTTTAAGGTAAAGGTTTATTTGGGCTCCTTTTTCAATCAAGTTTTTCTGGTTTTTTGGATTTACATTAGTTGCGGATGAAAGCAGAGAGGATTATTAAATTTATAAGAAGAGCACAGTTTTGGGCGTTCCGTTCTGAGATTTAAAGATGCTAAAGTCGCTCCAGTCGACACGGAGCCACGCAGAGAATACACCGAAATCATCGCCAGCATCCTGTGAGCTGAATATATATTGATCATTTACACCTCGAAGCATTGACCACAATACCGTTTCTTTTCACAAAGAAACCTTTTCTAAGGCTCAAACCTCAACCTTGTAGTTTTTGAAGTCCTGGAAATACCAGAAAGAAAGCTCGAGGCCAGCTTTTTAAAACAATTAACTATTCAAAAAATCTCTTAGATCTCGTCCTTCATGTGAACACATGTAATTATACTTTCCCTTTCTTAAAGTCGCTTAGAGCAAGAGAGCTTGGAAACCATCCTGTGATGCACCTCGCAGAGAGATTCTGTTTAATTTGAGTGGTGTACTTGGATGTGTCTGGTATGTGATTGTGCTTAGTCTGAGACTACTGAAGGCCTAACAGCTGAGCACTTCCTGCCGACCCAATAAAACTGAAGTTGGTTGAGTATTTTTGGTTTGCGCTCTGATAGAAATTCGGATACCATTCGTGGAAGTCTACGCCAACATGTCAGGTCTAAAAACATCACTTTCCTGAAGCTTACGCGGAACTCAAATTATCGCTTGGCCTGAGTACTGAGGGCATTCGGTTGGAGTTGCGGTCTTTCTCTGTGACCCCACTTCTTTGGAAGAAGAAATGCCAAACAACTTTGCACCCGTAATATGGTTGCCTCTGTTTAAGCCCTTCAGCTTGCACACTCAGCCACTGATCTCCTGTATGGCTCATCCATGAGCTCGCAATATCAGTGCAACAAATGTTTATAATTTAAATCCTTTAACATCGCCTTATAAATATTCAATAGCGCTGACTGAGAAATGCCTCCACACAACCGCTTATCACATTTCGCCAGCATATACAATAACCAGCAACACCCCCTCTCCAACACACACACACACACACACCCATATGTGTGAATTTACACTTCTACTCGCCAAGTTGACCTCATTCACATGGCAGCCCAACAACCTAATGGCCACTTTAACCCACTTAATGGCCTAGCAAACGCGATAAAACGTCGAGCTGCTGAAGATGAGCAGTGGAGGGTGGCGCGAGGCAATGACTAAAAAAAAAAAACAAACTTAGCAAAGGAAATAATATAATCATACATGAGCAAGCCGCTATCTATGGTTGAGCATGTGTATGTGCATATATGTATGAGCGGACACGGAATAACGGTAATGAATGTAATAGATTGTTGAGCAGTGTATTAAGCAAGCTTTTGGTTGATGGCCACACAAAAGCAAGGGCTACCAACCCAAGCGGAATATTTTACATACGAAAGCGTGTTTTAGTCATGAGACATACACACGAAGCCCGCTGCGATGTCTAGGTGTGAGTGTGTATGCTCGGCCGGCTGTGTGACAGCCACTTCATTGTGAGACAATTAGCGGCGCTCACAGCATCAACAGCGTGCGCTACAAGGGCTACGAACGCGTGAGCGTATTGTTTAAAATTTGCCAAAAAGTTAGTTAGCGCCTGAAATGAACCCGTTTGTGGGCTCACAGGTGTGCGCTGGTGAGTTTGTGAGCGGCCGCCTCACTTTGTCATGAATAATGCATTAAATTAGTTAGAGCGAATGTTGGCTGCGGTTGCCTAATGACAGCGGCCGTTTTTGGTTTATTTATATTTTCATTAAATTTAATAGACTCACCCACACAGCAAGCGGTTGGCGTTTATTTACCGTGATTTATATGATATGACAAATATTGTGGGAAAAGGGAAAATATTTTTTCTGGTAAGCTTAACTGTAGCTTAGCTGATCTTTAACACTTTTTCAATACCAAAAATTAATTTTAAACTTTTCTAATAATTTTTTTGCTTTTTTAAAAAGTGCTTTATTATTTGAAAATACTGTTATCTACTGTTATCTACTTTCCATATTTTTTAAATATATTTCAAAAAAAAAAATATATAAATATATTTACTACGAAATTTACGCCAAAAATAGTTTCTACTTCTCCTTTAACTCATTATTATTTCTACTAATACTCAAAAAAGCTCTAATATTCCATAGACTCAAGCTTTGCAAGTTTACAAGCTTTTTATAAATTCTTCACATGAAAGTGATGCTTGAAGTAAGCGCTTAGGCGAGCAATGGAGCTTCAGCTTTAGCTCTTGCATAGAGAGAGAAAGAGAGCTCTCTCTCGCACAAATTACTTCTTGCGAAAATATTATCTAATATTTTTTTTATTTATTTCTACACTTTTATTTTCTATATATTTATTACTTAATTTTTTTAATTATTTTTTTTTAATAAGAGAATTTATTATCTAGCAAATTTATTTTAAAAATTGTTTCTAAATTATTTTTGTATACACTTATTACTAAAAATCGATTCAAAACTCAAACAAAGTTCTCACACACTTTAAGCTCAAACTCCATTGCAAGCTTTTCAGGCTTTTGAGTAAAGTTCATAAAGCTCATATTTTAGACAAGCGAAGAGGCTTTTTAATGAAGTTTCAGCTTTAGTTCATAAAAAAGTCATTCCTTTCTCTCACACTCACTCTCTCTTGCTTTCTCTCTCTCTCGCTTTGTCTCTCTCTCTCTTGCTTTCTCTCTCTCTCTTGATTTCCCTCTCTCTCTCGCGCTTTCTCTCTCTCTCTCGCTTTCTCTCTCTCTCTTGCTTTCTCTAGCTTTCTCTATTTCTCTTTCTCCCTCTCGCTTTTTCTCTCTCTCGCTTGCTTTTTCTCTCTCGCTTTGTCGTGCTCTCACGATGTTTTGCACTACTTACTGTTCTTTTTGTAGAGTAAAATTTCAAATTGATCTTGTTGCTGATTCTCCAATGTGAATTCCAAACGCGCCACTGTTTCCTTATCTGTCAGCTCGCCATACATGAAGCCGCATCTATAAAGAGAAAAAAAGAGACAAATATTTTTTTTATGCTCAATTAAGTTTAGTGAAAAGAGAGTATCGAATTCTCGGTCTATAAATATATATTTGTTTCTTAGAAAACTAACTGGCTCTGAGAACTCCCAGGAAATATAAGTGCTCACACATCTTCTTGGTTTCTCTGGAAGTCTTATTCTCTATCCTATAAGCAGTTGTAGAGGTTGAAAAAAGTCTGAATTCTACAACGTGTAATCTTTAGTGAAGTGAGAATGGAACAAACATCCATAACACATATCTATCTCGCTCTCTCGCTCTCTCACTCTCTCTAGAGACATCTCCTATAAATATTTACGCATATCCTCTCTTCTCATCGCTATCAGTCTCAAGTGACTTTACTACGTAAAATGACAGTAAGACAGGTTTGGATTCTGAGTTCTTATCTAGTAGGCGTCTCTTAGAGAATATTGCTAGTTGTCTAACTCTCTCATGCTTTAACTTATGCGTCTTTGGATCTCTTTTACTAAAGAGTTTGTTCTTTCACTAGAAGCTTTCTGTATTTGCAAGCAGCTCTGACAGCAGTCAAAACACTACTAAAACTTTTTTAAAATCTTTTATGATACCACTTGCCCTGCAAGACAGTTCCTTGCCCGAGGACGTCTGATTTAGTAAACGTCGTATAAAAGAGTGAAAAGGGGTGCCTGAGGTTCTAAAGTAGTATTTGCATTCCTTTAGCTTTTCAAAGTACAACCCGACGTATTTTATTCCCAATAAATCCCATTATATGGACCTGCAATGCCATAATCTCGGTGCTTAGAAGAAAGCTATAGAAGTATGAGTCGAACTGACACCTGGCAATACATGTAACCAGCTCCTCCTGGCGAAAACTGCCGAAGCGATATTCAGCGGAACCTTTCCTTAATTTCCTGATGTGGATCTTAATAAAAGTGAGGCACCTACAATATTCTCAAGCCACCTCTCAGCGGATGATGGATTTTCAGGAGGAGTCATTTTATGTCAGCCATACGCTCAGAGGGGTTGATATTCCCTGCCCGGGGGATGTAAAAATGTACGATAATTAGTCAAGGCCAGATTCAAAACCATAACTCTCCATTTAAAAGCACACTGCTACTCATCCAGGTCACTAAGACTGATTAGTAGGACTACATATTGCTGGATATGGTAGATGGCTGAGAGAGTTGGTTTGGTGATATCAATATGAGAACATAATCGAGATATTGTGCGGGTGTCTCCCAAACGCTATAATCATTCTAAATTCCGAAAGCACAATAAAGCATCCATCATCATTCGGTTTTTGCGCCTAATCTTTTGGCTGGGTGGTACTGAAAGTAGGGCTCGTTAGAGGTGCTTACAAATTTGGGCAGGAGTAACCTTAATTTCCACTCTGATCAACAAAACAAAGGTTGTATAAATGGGCACTTAGAGGCTTGAGGGGAGCGTTATGTTCTTCTTACTCCTCCCATAGCTGAAAAGAAGGATGGGTCACAATGCCCCTTCAACCTTTAAATCCAACAAACCAACTGGTATCTCGATTTACCCACATAAAGTTCGACAATGTTTGATTTTATGATTGTATTTGTGAGAGAGACCAAATAAAAGGAAACAAAAATGAACTCTCAAATGGAAATATCAGCGACCGAACAACAATAACGGTAAATCTGCACCAGCCAAATAAACAAATGTGAAAAACTTTGCACGAGAATGAAGAAAGGGTGAGCCGTGCGACGGAAATTGCGGAAAATCAAACATAAAAGCCAATAAAATAAACAGAGAAAGAAATCAGAATTTGACACACATAAAAAGAACGACGCGAAGGAGGGACGGTGAAGTGGCAGAGAAAGGGTCGATCGAAGTGGTTGTGTGAGCTGTTGGCCGTGCAAGGGGGCTCTAACGAGCTTGCGCTTACTAGGGCACTAGCTCGACGAGTGTTACTAGGGCAGGCAGTGGAGATGCGCGGAGAGAAGGAATGCGAATGTTTTGTTGTGTGATTTTTTATTTGGTTGTTTCAATTTGTATTCGGAGAGAGCAAACACACAACCGCGCTTACGAGTTCGACACGCAAATGATTGATATTTTCAGTTGGTTGGTGTGGCATGAAACTTGCAACACAAATATTGTTTCGAAATCTTTTTTCGTTGTCTTCAACCTTGCTTCGGTGGCGTGTGAATGTGGAGGGCGCACAACAACAACAAAACCACAAACCCTCGGCTTGTGCCGAAACTGCGCCAAAGTAAGCAAATAAAATTTAGAAAAACACCAAGAGCCGCCTCCGCCTCCGCCTCTCCCAGAGACACACAGTCGCACCGCCACAAATCCGCAACCGCAGGAGGCCGCCGTAACCGCAGTGTGAGCTTTGGGTGTCGTGTGTGTGTGGGTGTCTGCGGGTGACAATAGAATTACAATAACAAATAATAAACCACTAACTAAGCCGCTTACATTGGCAAAACAACAACAAAAAGAAAAACAAAAAACAATGTAACAATTGACTTGCGACTTGCGACTTGCGATATGTTGCACGCAACGCAAATAAACACACACCCATACACACACGCGTGGACCAAACAATTCGAAATGCAATTTACAAACGCTGAGAGGGTTAGGAGAGCGAGTGTGGACCTTTGAAATCAGGTTTTACTTTGATTTTTCTACTGAGAGCGAGGAAGAAGTAGAAGAGAGAAGAAGAGTCTGTAAGGAAGATTGCTTAATTTTGAAGGAAGTTGGTTCCTGCAAGAATTATCTAAAAGGCTTTCAGAAGAAATGAGAGGTCAAAGCGAGCTCCAGCAACTCAGTCCATCTCAAGAATGAAAGAGGAGCACAAACCGCATTTACACCGAGCCGTGAAATCGTTCTTCATACCTTATGAACTCTCTAAGATAATTCCAGCAGTGGCAGCTCTTTTTGTTTCTCAATTCGTTGCGCCAGCAAGGATTTCGGTACTCAAATATGAATATGAGTTTTCTGTAGCCTTACAAGGCTGAGCTCTTGTGACAAATTCCTTCTAATATGGATTTCGCTTCCCCTTGAAGTATAGTAGAATGTACTCAGAATGTGACATTGCATCCTAAAGAGTCTGAGCTCTGGCGGGGAGCTCTCTCTGAGGTTAGGATAAAGCGAAATTTCTAGATTTCTAAGGAAATCTCTTAAAAATACTCAATGTACTCTTGCTACGAGTGTCCACTTAGACTGAGCTTGCAGCAATAATCTTGTACTTTTCAGGAAATCTCCTAGAAATTCGAAAATACGAATATGAGACTCCGAGTTTCCTCAGAGATTGGACAAATTCCCAGCGTGTACAAGGTCAAAGTGAACTTTAATCTCATCAAGAGAGCGAGCTCTTGTAACGCTTAGGTACAATAGAAAGTGATGCTGGAGTGTTGTCAGTAATTATAAGTCCGTCGAGACGATTTAATTGATTGAAAGGGCAGCCGCTCCTAAGGTATTGAGCTTGCGCACAGCTCGTTCAGTTTGAGAAAATATTATTATGAGTGTTCTTCTCGTCAAGGCTGGAACTAAGAGTATAGACAAAAAATATTACTTCTCAATCTGTAGTAGACGGGACACTCGTAAAGGTGCCGATTCAGCGGCGACTTATAAGTTAACTCTCCCAAGCGGTAGTGACATTGCAGAGAAGCCAACCTTAACACTGTGATAAGCTCAGATCTATGTAAGAACTCTTCGACTTTAAAGCCATAGATCACGGTTTTCAGAAAATGCCGAGCAGCGAGGCGAGGTGATCTATTTCTTATGGCATTGATGCCGGAATGGCAGGTCAAACTAGGAAAAGGTTCTTTCAGCAGGTTAGATTAGCTAGTTTTGGATCTAACCAGGCCACAAATTGTTCTAGATTGGTATCGAAGATGTGATCTCAGATCTTAGAGCAATAATGACATTGAAGGCACTTTATGTCTTGGAAGATGGTGACTGCGGTGTGACGGTATTTCTGTCTCAAATCGAGGATACTACCAATACGACAACACTTTTGATACCGACGTTACTCCGCCCTCAAGCTCGGGTAAAAGTTTTCCTAAATTCCTAAGAGAGTGAACTGTCGTGAGCAGAAGGTGTAGGTAATAAATAATGCCGCAATTAGTGGATGCCTGACTTCGGAAAGAAATATGTAGAAGCGAAAGAATGCTGCAGGGGAATGCTCACTTTAGGGAGCTCAGTTGGGAAGTAATAAAGAAATGATCCCAGCTTCGAAATTTAGATGCTTTCCGTTCGGATGATGGAAGCCCCAGCACAATGGATCCATTGAAATGATGTTTTCCACAAAACGGTACATTCAGGGGGAAGTTGCCACATCCCGTGCTGAATTTGCAATAATTTTGACTTTGGCCAGGTGAACCTGAAGCCCACTTAAGGCGAGTCATAGCTTCCGTTAGAATAGATGGGACTCCAGCCAATAGATTTTGTAGTTGTATAACCTTCTTTGAAACGGGAATAGATTCATGACTCACATTCCGATTTTTGATGATTCGCTTCACTTTGCGATCACTTTGATTTTCTCTGGTAGAAATATTCAGTAAATCTGAAAGGTGATGTAGCTGCTCATATAACGCAGCGAATAAACTCACTGACAAAGGAGATGCTCCTTTAAACCCTTCGGAGCTCAAGTTCCTTTTGCCGCTCATAAATCCTACTGTGGGTCATTAAATGCCCATTCCTCGATAGTAATTACCCGAACCCGCTTGACATTCCAATTACGTAAGATACCGTGGCGGGGGAGGAGGAGGAGTGGGACGTATGATCGCCACTTCATTAAAGTGTAACCGCGAAGAGCAGAAATATTTGCGCAAATAATAATTTAATTGGAGGTGAGTCAACAGAAAACAACTCAAATTGCATGTAAAACAACAACAAAGCGAACTGCAACATAAATAACGGTAAATGGAGCACATTAGCGTAAAGTGGCCAAGCGAAAGTAGAAAAGCGAAGGCAGCAAATTGAAGGACATTTAAAAATAACTCTGGCGAACCGCAGTGTAAACAAACAAACGAATGTCGAGCTGAAAGACAGCCAAGCGGGGCTCGCCGAGCTGAGAGGCAGACGGTCGCTAGCAAATGAATGGCGGAAGTGACTGGCGAAGAGCTGAAAGCCGAAAGCCTATGATGAGTAACACAACGTGGCATAAGCTGCTGAACCCAAAAGGGAGGCGAAAAATACGCAACTCATTGCAGTGAACTGCGGCTGTGGGCCTTCAAAAGCCAATTTGGGGCTTACGACGTAGCAAAGTAGCACGCGAAGGGCACGCCAATCGGGCAGGTGGCGAGGAGCGCCAATTTACGGCTTAAAAAATCAACAAGCCGCACGCCGAGCTACCGCGCTGCCGACCCGCAGTGCGAGTAGTGAGTAAAGTGCAAGGCAGCGAGCAAAAAAAAAAAATGGCTGCTCTGGTAGGGCGCACTTGGATACTTACATACTTACTTGCCGGTATGTGTGTGCGCGCCAACGTTAAGAGTTCCAAATGCGCTTGTCGTCTATTTTTAGAAAAATTAACTGCTTGCGGCGACAGTAAATATTTGCAACATTCGCAGCACTGGCAACCGCTCAGTCGGTCTGTTGGTCTGTTGGTCTGTAAATCAAGCGCTGTCACAGCGTTAATTGTGCACCGTAGCAGTCGGCTGAGGTACAAGTTTCAGCTAAATAGCTCAGCTTATGAATGAAAGCTGTGTGAAAGGTGCTGTTGTGCGATGGAATTCTCAGATTCCAAGTCAAAGTGCATTGCCAATGTGCGGCCGGCGGGCTATAGTCGGCTCGTTGGGAAACTGTCAGCGCACGGGCGGAGAATGATTGACTACTTGTATAAATGAACTTGACTTGGCTTATTTTTAGGTCTTGTGCCAAATAATTCTTACATCGTTGCGGGTGCCTGGTTGCTTGGGGCAACCATCAAATATTTAGATACGTTAGAGGTTAGATTTAAGCGCACACATCTCAGCTTTACGTTTCTCTGACGAAATGCGGCAGAGCTCGTGCGAGGCGTAGTGTGAGTAGATCCAGCATTTAATATTCAGTTCATATTCTACAAACATAGTCAAAACAAACTGGAGCACCAGGAGTGCGAAGCCACGTCTTAATCCAAAGACATCTTTAGGCGTCTAAATCTTATGGAACTGTCTCTTTCGGGGCTCGTTACAAGGAATGCATCTTTCCCACCATAAGATGTGAAATTTAGGGTGGTCTTGGTTGGGTTTGCTGATTCAGAGATATCTTGAGATGAACAGGGTATACACAGCAGATCATACACAAATCTTTCTAGCCATTGGATGTGTAAAGTGGACTCTTGCTGAAAGAGGTTTGTTCTTAATAGACTGGACAGATCAGTTAGAAAAAAATATCTAATGAGGCTTTGCCACTTTGGCGGGACTCTCTTCTTCGAGTTGGCATTGAAAACTATTAAAAAAGGCTTTGCTCTGAACTTAGTGAGAACCTGAAACAAGCTGGGCAACTACAGCTGATGGTCACACCGATTCTTGTAATCTTAAAATAGGCTTCCTTCAAAGAGAAGAGAACAAGTACTCGTCGACAAGGAGAGACGTATCGTCCACAGATTAGGTGGTTCGGCACAAGAAGTATACAATAGGGGTTTTCATTCGTTGATTTGACTCACTTTGTAGGGAGAGAAGTTCTAAAACGGAAGAGCGCTCTTTCCATAGATAGAAGCGGAACCTTGTTCTGCCAGCGCAATCCTCCAGCAATGACCAAACGAACTAAAGAGGACCTTCTCTCCAAAGATGGCGCTCATTTCAGTCGTACGAAGGTCTGCTGGTCCAAGGAAAGCCTCATACGTTCATGGAACCGATTTCTCTTGTAGCACAGTTATAATGGGGACTTTGGCACTTCTTGTGTGGATCAACTTCCGAGAAGCAGACACCCCTCAGTCTAGAATTTTCGACTAAAGAGTCAGGGAGAATTTCTGTCTCCCAAGTTTGACTCTGGAACAGTACTACGGCGTATTCCCTAGTGCTCCCTGCTAGACTGGATTGAGGCAGACTTGAAGAGCTGTGAAGCACTTAATACGACCAGTCTTGTGACTCTGCGCCTTCCACGTCTTTCTACATTCATCCACCTGCACTCAGCTGCTCATACACGCATCTCTGCTTAGCTCAGCATGGTAATAACGGTACTTATGAAAATATGGCGTACACTTGCTTGAAGCAAGAGGAAGAGAATTAAAAAACAAACAAGCAAACAGTCCAAGCATAAAGACCTTTTACCGCCTCATTCACAAATCACACGCAGCAGCGTGGGCAGCGGAGAAACTGAGTGAATAATAAATGAGAAAAATGAGCACACAAAACATAAGCAATAAATGACGTATCGCTGACCGATAAGCTGAAAAGTAGAAGAAGCACAAGTAAGTCGGTAAATCGGTAAGTCGGCGAATAAATGATTAAGCGGATAAGTAGGTCGCAGGCAGACAAATACATACACGTATGTGTGTGTATGTGTGTAAAAGAGAATATTGACCAAATGCGGTCGGTCTTCTTCTTACTTTTTCATTTTCAAATTAAAGTTTCGCTGGCATAACTGGAGCAACGGACCATTATGAGTGCTGTTTACCTCGAAGGTTCTCCCTCTCTCCCTACCTTCCGCACTTGTTTGCTCCTGAAACTGTGTAACTTTGCATGAATTTTTCATTTATTTCCTTGAGTTTCCTCGTGCTCCGTTTGACTGTCGCTTGGGGATCAGCAGTTTTTTAAACTGCTCAGCTGTCTTAGCTAATGAAAGGGATTTGTTTTGTATGCAGTTGGGAATAAGCGATTCAAAATGGCCGTATGTGTAGGTGAGGATAGTGAGAGATATATTTAAAATTTAGTTGGATAAATTAAGCTCTGCTTCGATGTGGAAATTTCTTTGTTCGAGTTCGTTATTTAAAGCTTCGGAAATTTCCTTTTACTTTTCTATGGAGAACTGAAATATCAACTCAAAGGGAGTTCAGATGAACAGAGTTCTTGCAGGGAAGCTAAGTGCGTTTCTACGGTAAGAGAGTCTGAAGCTTGTGTATCCAGAGTTGAGTGTGGAACTTCATTCTCATTGAAAGGAAGCAACGCAAAGACACTGGTTTGAGCTCTGAAAGGAAAGACAAAATGAATATTGTGACTGTACTGTGCATGTACAAAGAACAAACTGCTGGTTCTCTCTCACATAACCAGTGGCAGAACTGTTTCCACAATTTCATTCTTTCTTCCAGCTCCGCGGGAATTTTAGCAATGATTTGAGTCTGCGAGGAATCGGGCAAGAAGTCTGTATTAGAAAGAGTAAAAATCGTACGCCAACCTAACTGTATTCCATGCTATCCACACCAGGAGTAGGAGGAAACCCCAAAAGAGTTTGTGAGTTAGACCATAGAGAACTAAAAGGACATGCCCATCAATGTATGTCCAAGATTTCTTGATTTTCTACGTAGAGAAAAGCTCTGTAAAATAACACCAAGAGGAAGATCCACTTGTCTTCGCCCTAAGAGAGGATATTCCTTCTAATTGGAGAGATTTTAGATTTAGAGATTTCAAAGTGCCAAGAGGGAGCCTTGTATGCGGCCGATTGCTTCACGTCTTCCTTTCCTTCCGCACCCGTAACCTTGACAACTAATTAACTAAGATTAATTTTCATAAGAATGTTCATCAAGTAGTTGGGCATCGGTCCAAGATGATGAAGTATTACAACCGTTCGAGTTGAAGGGAGTACCAACCTAACCGTCTTCTGTACCTTCATCTTAAGGAGGCAGATCTCTCAATATATAGTCGTAGGTCAGCAGAAGGCGATTGGATGGACAAAGTATCTCTAAAGTAGCACTGAGAAGGAGTTCTACGTCCTTTGTACTAACGAAACTTCTTCTTACCATATCAAAGAGCCACAGAAGATCAAGAAACGAGATAGACTGGGAAGGACTAATTTGCATCTGCATCACTTTTTTTAGGCTTTTACAACAGAGAGACCGGTAAACGCAATAATAGAATATCAGAAAGACTCTAGGTAGTCAAAGTGTAGCACTGCTGGACCAAGGTAGCGTAGTTCTCTCACCGTGAGGAGCAAGGGTCTGGAGGGAGAAAAAACGTGAGTTCAAAGTGGATCAGAAGGAAGTATTTTCCATTATAGTCGCAATCCTTGCTGAACATCAACCTCTTCCTGTTCCGCCTCAACCTTCCACAACAGAGAAGCTGGCGACCAAAATGAAGAGCAACTCCTTCAACTGCTTCTGAAAACAAAGTAAGGACAAAGTAAGAATAAAGTCTAAATATCGTCCGAAGACTATGGTGTGCCAATCTTATCTACCCCCGTGTCTCGCTCAAGAAGAGAAGGACAGCTCCATAGGTAGTCAAAGATCATTCCACACGAATAAAAACAATTAATTTTCTAATGAAGTCACAAGCCCGGTTGTCCTCCATCCCTTTATCTTGAGAACTTCTTTGGCTTAAGGTGTTTTGCAGAAGCTCCTTAACATAAGCCAGAGCATATGGAGGTGGTAAGCTTAAAGCACGGACTCAAAGCATGCAGAGCAACGCCTGCCTTCTCGTACTTTTATGAGCCTGAACAGCTCAGTTGTCTTCAACGTCTTTCAAAAGAGCTGCCAGCTGAGGTTTAAGTATAACTTGAATTTCTTTCGAAAAATAAGCTCAGTTCGAAGCACTAAACGATTCCGAGAACGAGTCTGGATTCTACGCAGAAAAATTTCTGCTACTAGAAAACCAGTCCTTCCCATGCAAAGAAACAAACTTCTACATTATGGAATAATGACATCCTTGGGAGAGAAGAGTAAAGAGGAATATAAGGTCAGTTAAGGTAGATCACAGAGAGGAAGAGTGGTTCTTTTCTATAAGAGCTGTGGAGTCTTATTTTAGTTTTCACAATGAGTTGGTGCAGCTGTTCCCGCTGACCGGAAGTACGCATGTAATACTCTTTTTCTTCTTTTTCTGTTTCTTCTTTTTTTACTTTCCTTCTTCTTCTTAATAAAACTCACCTGCACGACTTCTGCATGACTTCAGCCCGATTATAGCCGCTAATTTTGCAAAAGGACTCATTGCAATAGACAATCGGAAAATCCACAATCTGTGCGTTGGCCAATAGAAATGAGCTGTCCGCTGGAAAAAAAGGAAGGACAAAATAGAATTAATTAAAAAATTGCAATTCTACAATTCTAGGGATACATAAATTTGCAGAAAAAGAAACTTCAGAGAGAGAAATTAACATTTATCCATTACTTGTCCTCACACGACCCACCACGGCGTATGAGCAACATTTTGGATTTTTATTTTCCTTAGTCGAGGAATTAAAATAAAAACCCTGCGTCTGAGCTCAACTAAGTGAAATCCAATAAAGCGCTCATCCTTGTCTCCATCAACGACTGCATGCTGTGCTGCGCTCGTTTATCTTTTTCGCCTCATGCACCCGCTACGCCCAGCCACGCGGAGCGGAGCGGCGTAATCACTTTTTGCCGCCGCTTAAGCCACTTCTTGCTGCATGCTTGCTTTTGCCTTAGGCACCGCTAATACGGTTGTCGGATGTAAATGCATTTATCCTTCCGCTAGTCGTTCACACACACACAGTCACACACACATAGCACACAGGAACACATACGAGTACTTTGCAGCGGCGACGTTGCATTGCATCACAACGAAAAGCGATTTGCTACATTTTAACGTTAACGGGCTTGGGCTGCTTTGCTATCGGTTTGTCGTTTTTAAGCAAAGTGTCGCCTTTTATTTGCCAGCTATAAATATTGAAAACATACTCGTAGCGGGCGTATACGGCAGAGATGTGACGAAACTGATTTGAACTTTAGCGAAAGTTTGAGAGATGCTGGTGGAGTAAAACCCATAGGAAGCCCGTAGAAGATCTTCTGAGGATCTGAGAATGCGTCATGAGGTCGTTTTCTGCATTAATCGAGTTGAAATTTATTCGTTCGAAAAGATTCTCGGATTCCAGATGAGACCAAAGACGGGTCGGACCAAAGCAATAAAATTAAGCAGATCTCATTTTCTTCACTCCGGGTCAGGATGCATCTTTAGGAAACAGGTAGTAGCCCGAGTGGGGTCTCCTCACCGAGAGAGATAACACGTAGATGAGATTAAGGCTTATGCTTTCGGTGCTGGAGGCTGTAAAATCCCTTAAATGCTCATACCGATTCCGTCTATTAAAGCGGTATGAAAATCAAGGCTGGCGCATCCTTTATATGACTATCTCACGGATTTCTGTTCTAACAAACCCTCAGAGAAGCTAGCGGTAGCAGGGACTAGTATTTGAGAAGTTCTCTATACAAAAAATACATCAGAGCTGATCTTGCCGGAACCGCTGTCGAAATTTAGTTTAAGCAAACGAGGGTAAAAAAGCAATAAAAAACTTCGATCTAAGAAATCTTAAGGGAGTTCACTGCCCCTCATGCCTCGTGCTTCCGCGCTAGGTGGTGCGAACTGAGGTAGCAGCAGCGAGATTGCCCCTGCTTTCGCTGCGGCTAAACTCTAGTCGATATTAACCCATTGTCCATGTGCAATGTTAAATGCCACTGGAAATCTCGAAACCCATAGACTCCCAGAAGAAAGAAAGTCGAGTGCTTACCATATTTAGCACCGAGGTGAACCTGCTACCAGAGAACTTAACTTGCCGAAACCAGCGTTGGTGCTTTAGGGTCAAGAGAAGGCCTCATTCCTACATATCAATGTGATTTATTTTTTGCTATTGGAACGAGTTTACCGGAGCAGGAGTTAGACTCGCTAAGCTCCCTCAAAATTTGAGTTCGATACCATTTTATGGGTCCAAGGCCAAGTTTACTTTAGCGATTGAAAATCTAGTCGAAAATTCTAAACCTTTGGATCCGGTTTACTACTACCAGGTTATGCGCCCAACCGACGTTCCAGTCTCTCAACATGGCAATCGAATAACCGTGTTAGCTCTATTTATGGTACTATATGATTTCCAGTACTTTCGGCCGTCGATTTATGGAGCAAGAGCTTGCATGTGTGGCTCAGCGTTAAATCGAAAGAGTAATTTAAATGCAAAATGCAATAAAATAAAACAGTACTCATCGCAAAGGATTGAAACCCAACCCACTAAGCTCCTACACTAAGACCGCCCATAGCGACGTTACTCCATCCGTTCACGGAGCTGGTATTTTTATAACTCTGGCGCGCATTTTTTTTTATTACCTCTCAACTTCATGTTATACGCGCACAGGCAAACACACTTACTCCCGCTGAAGCTGCGACCTTGAACACTTACCAATCTCTTACCACCTCGTCACGCGGGCTATTGACTTCGCCCCGCCAAACCGTCCTATGCGCGCACTCAGCATTTCAGTTTTATGGCCGAACGTTTGAGTGGAGAAAGCGAGAGTGAAGAGTGAAAGTGTTGCGCGTAACGGTTGTGAAAATCAACAAACACACGCAGATACGAAGGCGTACATGAGCTCCGCCATATGAACGTGATTATATTGTCGGTAGTAAATTAAGTTGTACAGACACAATGGTTAAAACAAAAGCTCCAGTCTCCAGCTCGCTACTCTTATGCAGTATTAAATTGCTTTTCTGGTGCTTGATGGTATGAGTGTGTTGTGGGACTCCAGCGCGGAGGGGCGGAGTGGCTGATGAAGTGAAGAAAAATATCCTTTAATGCTTGCTCGGAAGGAGGCGGTAGCTTCATGTTGTTGGGACTCGTTTTCTGTTGATGGAGTTGAGCTCGTTGGTGGATGGTTGAACCAAAGAGAGGGGGAAATGGGGAATAGAGTGAGGGGAAAAGATGGTGGAAAAGAAGGATAGAACGATGGAAAAGAGGAAGAAAATGCTAAAGAGGGAGAAATATAGTGAGAGAATGGGAGAGATAGAGATATTTGACTTAATGTTCTCTTAGATAGAAGTTTGAATTGGTTCTCTAGGAGAAGACAAAATGATTTTGAAGACTGATTACTTCTCTGTTAAGAGCTTCTATATCCCAACGCTGATCCGGTCTACGAAAATATCAAATTCTTTTTTATAAATCTATAAAACTGCGGAGAGTATTGCTCCATACTGGTTCATCCAATTTGAAAAAAAATGTCAAAGGGTTCAGGGTTCATGCTGCTGCTAAGTGAGCTCCAGGCTTTAGGACATTATCTATATGAAATACCCTTTTTTCACATAGCCTCAGTACTCCTCATTTAGTACAAGAACACTGCCGGATCACATCTTCCCACTTGGATTTCCAGCAACTGGTTGCACAAAATACTAGTTTCTCATTTGTGAATCCATTTGCTAACACTCAAACCGGGGAGATGGGAAACGGTTGAGCATTTGCCAAGCAGGAAGTATTTTTCGTTATGGACCATGATTGCAGCCGCAATAATTTAGTGGTTCACAATTCGTTCGAAAAGCAAGGGTTTTGGTCCGACCAATATCAAAAGTATCTCCAGCCCTCCATTAAGACTTCATCATCCACTTAGAATTAAGTGTAGAAGCTTTTTTTTTTTGTTGTACAAAGAAAAATTTGAGGAGAAGCTCAGTCGAAAAAATTTATATGTTTATAAATCTTTCCCCACACAACTCAATATCTCTCATTTATTCCGTTTTCCTCCAACCCTTCATTATCTTGGCGGAACTACGAGGTTTATGGCAGCTACCTTACTATGCCAAGTTTCATCAAATGTTTTCGGTCGAGAAAAGTCTTACATAGTAGACGTTCGGTTGAAGAGGGTAACACATCTCTGTCACACAGTTCGAACGACCAAAATCACCTCCAAAATAGTTCAGTAAATTCCAGCGTGGAACGGAATGGAATAATGAATATTTTTCCTGCTTCGAATGCAAAATTTTTTGAGACTACGCAGTTACTAAGTTACTAAAACTATCGTGCCGTCCCATATAATAGTCCAGGCATTCAAGAGCTCGTCACACCCTATCCCGCTGATATCTTGGAGCTATTGGAGGACGATCGCAATTTTCGATTATAATTTGACCGGCCGAGAATTGTAGGCGTCCATATGAAAACTTTTTACAGACTATAGGTTATCCTCATCGATTTTAATTATCCTCCACTGCTCAAATTTCCTCGTACAGTTTTTCTTTGTTTACTTTTTTGTATTTTTCATTGTGTGATTTTAGGCGTCAATTTACACTCAACTGAATTACAAAGGCAAACACTTAAAAGAAATGATACTAATGCCACTTTATCGCTCAAATACTCCACCACATATGTACATATGTTTACATATATGTACGTGCGACTGTTTGTATGCATTTGATTAAGGCAGCGTTTCAAAAAAAAAAACAAAAAAAAAATCTCAAACAAATTAAATTTACATAATTAAGTGTCAGCAAATTTTTTTTTTTCAAACTGTTCAAGCGTGTTCATGTTGATGTTGATTTTGTAAATGAGAAGATATGGTATGTATGTAACTCATGTGTGCCTATAATGAAATTTAGGTAATTATAGTATGGAGGGTAGCTTGAAGGTCTGTTTACATATTTGCTTGTGATTTTTTCCTCTTATCGTTTAGAAACCGGTGGTGGACAGAGGCAAAGACGAGCTTATAGCTCAGCTTGAATCAGTATTCCTGCCCCAGAATGGGCTTGGATAGCAGCTAGTTGTCGATATGATCACATGCAACTTTGATTGCTTCAGCTCCTGCAACGAAGCTAAAACGTTATCACTCTCCGCTTGCAGTCATTCATCCAAAAAATACCAGGCGATTTTAAATCAATTCAACTTCATAAAAATCCGCATATATGTTCAGATCCAAGCCGGCAACATCGTATTCGTGCGGTGCAAAGCAATATTATAATAAAAAGCGGAAGGTTTAAAGGCTACTTGATGAAATGGAGTACTGTTCCTAGGCCTACAGAGAAGAATATAAATGAATATAATGATGACGAACAAAAAGCTGTCTTGTTTTTGGAAACTGATCTCTATGGTGCAATAAGACTCTAATGCACCATACAAATGCAAAATAGACTTATCAATAGCCTGCAAATATTCGCCTTGATGGAGTTGAATATTTCCTGAAACCTTTTCCCGGCTTATCAAACATTTTGTAATTCTCCCCAGCTTCTGGAGGGCTGGCTGTCTTAACCCTTTAAGGACTCTTGTGCTCAACATTTATAAATGAAAAACTCTA